AAAGCATGTTGGTTTGTAGAGTTTATTGTGCCACATAGCAGTACAGAACAGACAACAGACTCTAGAGCTGACGTGGATGGAGGAGGGTCATACACACACATACGCACACACACGCACACAATAAACATCTCCTTTCCGTCTCCTCCTCCTCCTCCTCCTCCTATTCTTCCTGCACACAGTGGAAATAAGCAGCCAGCTGTGTAGGGTATCACAAAGACAGATAGGGAGGCAGTCAGTCATCAATACATAGTGCAGATGCAAGTCAGGTTCATGGTGATTGGGTTGATAAAACTTCATTTTCTTAAGTTTTTACCTCACAAAGCTAGAGAATATCAACAACAAAAAAATAATAATAATTCTCAATGTTTACATTTTTAAATAAAAAAAATAGAATAAAACACTGCTTCCACATTAAAAAAAAAAAAACAAAACCATAAATTAAAAAGAAATGCAAGGAGAGTGATCATCATAAGGAGGGAAAGTTATAACTTTGCTGTTTTTACACCTGAGAGGAACTGATGTTGACACATCTGCGCTTACAGCTTGTCAAGCTTGTGTCATGTTGCCTGTTTGATTCCCATATAATCAGCAATAACCTGAAGGAACAGCTACCACAGCACAAAGAACTGACCACAACCATGTTAACTTTCCTACTGCAAGTTCCTCTTTGTACATAAAAATTTAAATTTCCAGAGGTAAGCAACAATATCTATAGGAAAATTGATTTTTAATCTCAATCACCAATTATTGATCTACAATTATGAAATATAGTGAGATTAATTTTATGCATAACTACCATCAAGTCATTCCTTTCATCAAAGCTTCAATATATCTGTAGTTTATCCAATCTTAATAAAAAAAAATACCAATATCTGCTACATTGTGTACATTTGTCATAAATTTAACCAGATTTTGAATCAAGATCAGTTAACTGATCACTTTACATACCACCAGCTTTTATGTACCTTATAGTTTCTCAATACTTTCATAGCAACAGGGATACCAGTATGATTGCAGACATAAGCAATATTGCAGTAGACACATTGTGATAAAAACATTAGCCTGTGTTTGGTTAGCATCCAAAAACCTGTTTGGAAGGCACTGACACTAGATGTAGGCTAATAAAAGCAGACAGACACCTGGCCTCCTTACTGAAATAATCCAGTTTTAGCAACTCTGAAGATAAATCAAACACCCAGTGGTCAACCAATACACACCAAGTGAGTAAGGTCTGAATTCACAGAAAGCATATGAACTGCTGGCCTTTGCACAGGATTTTGGCAGGTTAGTGAGGTTTTTTTTTCCCTTTCTTCAAGAAAAACCTTAAACTGATTTTAGAAAGGCATAAAATTAAAAAAGAAATATCTTCAGCCATGACACTGCATCTATTTCATTTGCAAAATCATGTGTAGAGGCATGATATAAAAAAATAGCATCCATCTTCCATTAAAAAAGGCATCCATTCTTGGTGATCCAAGGGCCTGCAGACACATTTAAAATGTCTGAACAAAGCCCTAGTATGAAGATTATTTCTAAAATCATATTTCCTAAGAAAGGAAAATACAGCAGCCAGTGTTCATATGGGGTGTAAATCTTCAAGAGGCTGCTAATATTTCCAGGCATCTTGTATGCTTAATGTGAACCCAACTAGCAAGAATAAAAGATGGCCAAACCAAAGACAGATTTATGTTAATTGCATCCAGGATATAAATGACAGCAATTCTAATCCAAGCTGCAAGACTAGAAGAAAGAAAACAAATACTTGAAGATAATTAAATGAGAAAATATACACTAAATAATAAAGATGGGGTTTCTGAGAAAAAAAATTGAAAGAATGGATCCAATGAGAAACAACTTCCACATCTTTATGTGGAAAAAAAACAATGAGTGGTGAACAGTCATTGCAAATAAGATACGTTTAGAGTAAAGAAAATATAAGAATCTTAACAGCTATTGGAATTTTGATTTATCAACAATCTAGCTAGTAAGGTAACAAACTTAGAGACAATAAGTGTTATCTTTCAATATGAGTCAATAATAAAAGGTTACTGACCAGACATGTGGTTTTAGTTAAGATTGACGGACTGCTCTCCACCATCTGATACAACAAACACTTATGTTGCCATAGCAATCACATCCCCAGACACAGGTCAAATAGAATGGAAAGGTAGAAATAGAAAAAAATCCTATACATTTTTCTTAACTATTTTGTAGAGTAAATGAACAGATTTATTAACCCTACTCAATAACGTGAAAAGTGTAGCTAATCATGTGGTCAGTTATAGTGAGGTTTACAGGAAGAAGCAGCCAGTACTGGATCAGTTGCCAGCAGGTACAGGAAACAAGTGTCCATTTACAAACAAGTGTAATCCATACAAATATTGCATTTCTTAAAAGCATCACAGTAGTTTCAGAATGTTTATGAGAACTATTGCAGATGAATAAAATACTTGAGAATTCTGCAACAAAAACATTCTTTCTTTCCTTCCTTTCAAAACTTGCTGACAACTGTGACAATAGACAGAAAAGTTTCAAGAAAATCATCAAAAAACTTATGAAAATCATCTCTGCTAAATCAGTAACAATTGTTTTTTTTTTTTTTGTTGTTTTTGTTTTTTTTTTACTTTAGTATATTAATAATCTCAACATTTTATATATTTAAATATTTAATTCACAAATTTAAAATCTAAAAGATAGTGTATGGTATTTGTCAAACATCAAACTTATGTGGACATTGTTTCCACAGGTGACTAATCCAGTAAAAATCTTACAAATTCCTTTTCAATAAGCAACCTGAAACCAACATTTCTACTGGGGTTCATATCTTTCCATTAAAATGACTCCAGCAAAATTCAAGTAGCAGCAGGATGTCCAATATTAACCACAAAGTTTTAAGAACACTGAACAATGCATAACAATAAAATCAAAAGGGGTTTTGTTTCAAGAAATTCAAGCACAACCAACCAAAGTTCAATATACTGTGAGCAATCAAGTGCTAATTATAAACCTTTTAAAGAAATGATTTTAATAAATAAGTAGCAAGAATAAATAAGAAATGTTGAGATACATACAACCATGTCAAAAATAAATCACCAAGACTATCATTATAGAAGGCAGAGCAGGTTTCATATTGTGTGTGTGTGTGTGAGAGAGAGAGAGAGAGAGACAGGGAGAGTATGAAGACAACAAACCCCCAAGGAGAGCTGCCAGTGTCCGGGTCTGACCATACCTGGCCTGCCTGGCCAACTAGATGTGGCATATCTACAGAACCATGTCCAGAACAAGGTATTTTGTCAGCTATATACAGCATGCCTGTCTATTAAGTCTTGGTAGCAGTGCAAAAAAAGAAAAAAAAGCTATTATTGAAGGGTGTGCACAAAAATTACAAAGATACCAACTTGATTTCACAAAGCATATATTCTCCTCTATTAAATAATTCTAAGAGGCATAATTATGTTCTTGTGAAGCTGAATGCCTATCTGCAACATGTAAATTAGTATTAGGTCAAAATAGGGGCCTCTGATATAGAAAAACATTTTAAATGGGAATCATTTTATTAAATATAAAGAAAATTAAATGATCAGTGAACTAATTGAATAAATTAAAATTTAAGGGATAATATTAAATATGAACATTTTGACAAATGATAAAAGCTGTAAATCTAAACAACTAAATTTCAGTATTTAAGAGTGAAAAACTTAAAATGCAAGTTTATTTTTTTCTCTCTGGTCCATCTTGCTTGCATTTTTTTTTATTTTTTTTTTTTTGATATTTTTTTTATTAACAGTTTTATGTTTAATAGGAACCAACACATGAACTTAAAACAGCTAAGAAAAATAATATCACAGGAATAAAATGCAATTAAAATTTTGATGAAAAGAAATATATAAGATGAAATCTATTGTCTGAATTGGATGAAAGATGTCAGCTGAAATATACTGACTACAGTAGACAAACTGACAAGGTAAAATATGGAAGAAATTGAAGATTTTTTTCTTCAAATTATCAACTACAAGGGAAAGGGAAAATGTGTGTGTGTGTGTGTGTGTGTGTGTGTGCATGCAGTCATGCAGTGCTGAAGAGAGATGTATATGTTACATATACACAATAATAGCAGCCACTAATTACTTTATTCATTAAAATCCATGTACGTTATCAATATAAGGAACTAATCGCACAATAGCTCATACTTTTTGCTGGCTACACAAGAAGCCAAACCATCTCAACACACAAAGCTAACAACAATGTAAAAAGCAAGGCAATCAAGGTAATCAATCTTTAATGTTGGTGATATCCAATAAAATCCATTCAATAATAAAGTACATTAAATTTTATTTCACAAGAGCAGCCTAAGGATCAACAGATAAGTTTTGGAGGGAATTGTCATTCTAATAGAAATATGGAGATTCTGCCCTTTTCAAAAACCAGACAGATGGGTGTGTCATTAGGTTTCAGCAGCTAGTGGTGTATGATGGAATTACAAAGCAGCCATTATATATTGTTTGGGGAATATTGGAAGATGGATGGGCAAATGGTAGACATTTTGTAAGAGCTAAAGTGCATAAACATTTGAAAAATAACAAAGTTCATCAACAAATATAGCATGCCACTCAACTCTGCTCACTAAGAGAAATAGAGAGCAAGTGAGAGAGAGGGGGAGAGAAAACAGAGGGTGCCAAGGGATTGGGGAAATAAACCAGGGTGGTGGTGGCTGAAAGACTACTGAACTGGACGCTATAAATAAAATAAGTCAGCACATGCAGCCCAATCCTCTTCTTCTTTTCCCCTCCCCCATCACAAGGGCCACTATTTTAAATATCACAGACACCAACTGCTGAAACGGGCCAATCTGGCAGACAATCACTTACCTTGGAGTGCTGAAAAAGTCAACACCATTTGTATTTCTTTTTCTTTTGAATAAACAAGGGAAAAATTACAGCTACAGTTTCATGATGAAAGCCAATAGAAGGGTACATTTTTACCAACACCATCTCTTTTACTTATGGTATGTGGTCAGGGTAAGGCAGCCAGAGAAACCACCAGCCAAATATATGAGCAAGCAGGCAGGAAAGCAAGAGACAAGTGTGCTGAACCAAAACATTAGCAGTTAATATACAGAAATATTGAAGACGAGGAGAGGGTGGAGTAGAACACGTAGGTGCGGGAGGGGGACAATGAAAGAAAATCACAGTAAACCAAGCAATGGATTTAATAGAGAGAAAAAAGAAAATCTCATTCAAACAAAATAGATATTAAGATTCTCAGTGTAAGCTGTATGTTCCTGAAACTAAAAGGATAGCAAAAACATAACCAACCACACTGGAAATGAATGTGTTGAAAGCCCAATAGGTGCACCTGGCACTAATTGAGATAAAAATCATACATGCTCTGGAGACATCTGACTAAGCATTCAATTAAAAACAAATTGATTGACATGAGAACAGAGGTACTCAAAACCCAGAGAACCAAACTCAGGGAAGGTAGCCTCACCTTTGTTTCTTTTCATTATCAGTGGTAAATAATTTTTTGAGAGATTAAGTGCAAAGCAAGCCCATATAACTTTCCAAACATTTCAGAAAGTTATGCTGAGTCATACAGTTTTGATAGGTAAACTTGGTTTATTTTTGCCCAATATCAAAAGTAAATATTTAACATTTTTTTTTGTCACTTTTACCATTTAACTAGTGGCAAATCTCATGTTGAACAGAAACTTGCCAAATTGTTAATGTCTCAATTTAGTTTCAATCCCATGGCCATTGGCATCAACCCCGATTGCTGCACTTTCTTTATGATACAAACTAATGTTCTTTTTGGGTTTTTTTTTTAATTTTAGATTTAACTTTAAAAACTTCATTTTTTTCTTTTTAAGAGAGGTCATTGTTATCCTGTTTTGTTTTTGTATTTTCTTTAACGAACTTTAGACCAGCTGGTGGTAAATACCTTGAAAAAAATACAAAAAACTTTAAAAAAAATTAAAACCTTGGATTTAGTTAAGAAAATCAATGAGATAGAATTAATATTAATAATAAAATTCCTAATAGTGATCTACTAATCCAACCCAGATCACTGACACCACTTCCTGCTTATTTTGTGTCATCTCAACAACACACAAGTAATGTCAAGAAGCTTGGAGCTGATGGCAGGACTTGCTGAGAAAGTGCAGTGGAAGGGTGACAAATATATGAAGAAACAGACTTATTATACATTAATACGAAATCTGAAGATAAAGGCAACTTCATGAAGGTTGAAGGCAAGTGAATGATCTAAACTGTTAAATGACCAGATAATTTTACAACTAGATAATCTTTGTTACAATAGACTTTATAATTTCATAGATCATTGGAAAAAAAAAGAAAAAATATTCAAAATCATTCGAATTGTATCTATGAAACAGTAATAGCATTTTTTTTGTTTCTTTTTCTGGTTATTACACCCAATTAGCAGACTGAAGGCTTTTTTAATAGGATGGTTATTTACATCTTGTAATATATTGTGCATATAAATTATACAAGAGGTTATTTTAAGATTTGATAAATTTATAAAATCAGCATCTAAAGTTTTAAAAAAAAAATCAACCAACTAAACTTTAGAGTGAGAAAAATAAACTTAAAAAGTAGACTATACAGTCTGCATATGATTAGAGAATAAAATGCTGTTAGCCAAATTATAAGCAACAATGAAAAAACTATTACTTAATTGAGATTAATTATATTGTATATGATTGCTTAACAATCAGCTGTATTCAGATGTCTTGATTCAAACTTCATGAAGTGATCTCAACCTCCAACGAAAAAGTGTCTGTGTCCTCATCATTATTCACAGCAACCAATCCCACATGCAGACAGCAGCATACAAATGATAATTTCCATTCACAATCTATGTGGCAGATAGAGATGGTTGTAACAGATTCAACTGAGAACCATGGGGAAATAGAAAACAGCTGGCCCAGGTGGATGCACATGTCTACAAAAATCACGGATGAAGTCATTGTTAATGCAATGGCAGAGGATAGGGCAGGATTAGAATTTTGTTTGACATTATATTTTAATAGAAAAAAGCCAAAGGTAGTTAATAAGAAATAATGAAAACATTTCACCACCCTCAAAAGAGCAGAGCAAAAAAGAAAAACCTACAAAAGGAAAGATTTAATAAAATGTTTTGTACAAACAAGTAATAAATAAATAAAAAACAAAAGGAATGTGATTTAAAGTTGTAGATCAACCATTTGCCCTAATGGTAACAGCTTCAACCATTGCAGATAAAGAAAGAAGCTGTATTTTATTTTGAGAAGGAAGATGGTATGGGAATCTTTCAATGAAATCCAGTTCAAAGAAAGTTTTCTTCACAAAATGTGAAGCAAAGACATACGCTTATTTCCAGTGCTGGCAGAGAATGACAGAACTGAAAAGAAGGTATTTAATATTTTGACATTTTTCTGGACAGAAATATAAAAACATTTTTTTAAAGTTCAGTTTAAAATTTATTCTGACTTTTTCTTTTGTGTGAGTTTCCATTGAAAGCCACATAAAGCCGTTCAGTTCCACTGAAGGTTCTGTGCCCGACACTGGAACGGAACAGTGAAGGAACAATGAAATCATCCAAAGAATGCAACAGTAGCATCTACACTGGACAATGTAGATACAATTTTCAGAAGGATAATGACCTTATTTAAAATAAGGACATAGTAAATGGACAAGATCCATTTTGAACTGTTCATAAATGCCAGTCATGTTTCACGAAATTCTTTTTTAAGAGTGAAGCGGTGTAGGATTAGTGGGCTCCCTAATAAGGATATTATAGGGAGAAAAGAATGAATGGCAACAGTTGAATTCAGTTCCCTAAAAAGGGTCTGAAATCCATCCTACCCAGCAACCTCAGAAATACGAAATGGAAATATAAACCTCATCTGGGTTCTGCAAAATGTATTTGACATTACCATGATATATGGTGATGGATCCAAACAAGGCAATATCAATACTCCCAGACAAAAAGCCTGCCAACATTTTAGAGGGGAAAAAAAAAAGAAAAGCAGTAATTATTTGATTATCTATATATTGGGAAGTTTTTTTTTTTTTTTTCTTTCTTTTTGCTCCCTGTCAATTACATTTCAAAAAACACAAATATCCACAGTTATTTTTCATAAATTAGCCTATTAGAAAAATTAGTAAAATTGTGAAAAAATTAAGTTTACAAAGTTTATTGTTTAAAGATCGTCTGTGCAAAGATGGGGTGAGAAAATGATGCAGAACAGGGTTAGTTAACTATTTTAAACCAGAATTTTTTTTTGATCCTATTACAACAAACTGATTTAGAAGATAAAAAAAATAATTACAGATAGTTGAGAAAATTAGCCATTTTAATGTGCTGTATGGCAGTCAACACTTCAGCACAAGGAGCAGAATTTCTGCAGAGGTGTGGGGATTAATTGCTACATACATGGAAGACTAGCAAACACCTGAAATATAAACTACATGCTAGAAATATGTTTACTTCCTGATTTTGTTAGGTCATCTGTTATATAGAGACAAAGAGCAAAGACCCTAATAATCACAGAGAAAACATGCAGGTACTTTCTGAGAATGTGCAACAGTCAATCACAAGTGAAGGCATGCAACCATTTAGCCACTAAATTAGGAAAGCAGACCACAAAATCTATTGGTAAGGTAAACAACCAGGGTGGCAACTGTCCTGACATTGCGATCAATAATTCAAGATTTAAAAATGCCTTTTTCCCCAAGAATAAAAAGGCATGAATATTTTATAGATAAGTCATCCAGAGATGTTAATTAAGTACAAAACAACCTAAACTCGGGTTTGCAATTGGGGGGGAAAAAAAAAAAAAAACACAATTTGCAGTATAAAAAAGTGTAGAGGAAATTGTAAAACAAGATATTGGAGTGTTAATTTTGAATGTTTCTAGGTTGCTTTCTGTTTTGTAAGAGAAAAAAAAAACAATTTCAGTAAGTATAATATTAGTACTGTTATAATGAGAAACCTGAATTTTCCTGGAAAGAATTCTTTCCATTTCACATGCTAAGTATTCAGCTTAACATGTCACCTGACACAGCAGAAAGTCAAACCAACTTGTGCTCTATGTTAAATATACTACTTGAAAAGAGTTAAGTTTTATTTGCTGAGAGGTCCAGGGCTATTATAAATGAAACAAAATGGAGTTTATTATAGTTTTTAATAGTTTCAGTAGAATTATTTTAAATCTAATACACTGGTTTTAATTAATTTCATTTTACTGTTTGTCTACAACACAAAACTGATAGTTTGGCTCAGTTGAAAATGTTTTCCCTTGTTTTTTTTTTCTCCTTTTAATTACAAATTTCAAACCCATTTCTCCCATTTCTATGAAGACATACTAAATTCACTTCTTTAATCTATTTGCTTGTTGACATATTAAAAAATAAATTGTTTAGTTGCAACAAGTTTATAATCTAAATGTTTAGCTTGGACCAATACAATACAAAAAGAAAAAAAATTACATACTGTAAAGTAATTTATAAATATTAGATTGGATGTTTGATGAAAGTAATAGTCACAACAAAGTATGGCTGAACCAGAGATAAATAAGTTGTGTGTGGAAAAAATATTAGGAAAAATAAAAACATTATTCTGTAAACCAAGACCAGCATATCTGAATCTCTACTTCTCCCTCATCAGTTAAGATGATAGAGAGCAGGAATGATGAGTGTGGCCTCTGACACAGGGATTTTGGTGCTACACAGTCTAGAGTAGCACTGCTACAGTGATGCTCTTTGTATACATGTGGCTGAGTGAAATCAAACAAAGTAGAATACCAGCCATAAAAGTGATTTTTTTTTTTTTTTTTATACAAAGAAACATGTTTGAAGAACCAAGGGAAAACAAGTTTATGAACAGTTTTGCTTGCTTGCAGTTTAGATTTTACCTTTTTTTTTTTTTTCTTCTTTGTTTTGTTGTTGTTTATTGGGGAGTGGGGAGGGGGACATTTTATTTATTTTTTTTTTTATATTTTTAAATGTTTGTACAGATTTGCTCAATGTTTTCTCTTGTTCATTTTTATGGTTTTAATTTTTAGAAGTTCATTATAGAAGACAGTGGAATTACAAGCCATAATCACAATGGTGATACAGTGGACTGTTACAAATGGTAGCCAATAACAATAATAATATTAATAGTTATAATAATGCTGGCTATAGGCTGTAAATAGAGAGCATAGCAAAGATATTTTTTTGTTCTTTTTTTGAATAGATAATTGTACAAAAGTTGAACTGACACCTAAGCAGTCACTTACTTGCCATCACTGAGAAGGCAGGTAAGAAGCAGGCAGGTAGAAAGGCAGGTAAATAGCTAAATAACCAGCCATCCTAACTGCTACTATGCAATGGTATGCAAGAGCCAACATGCACTCCACTGTGGCAGCGAGACAGAGTACACGCTAACAAAACGGAATGCAGCTTCATGTAGGAGTAGGAGGAGGAGATATAGTAGTAGAGGAGGAGGAGATATATATCCTCCATTTCAATTATCAATGAATGCACTAGAAAGCTTTGTAGTTCTGTTGTTCTTTGATGAATGGGAGTAAAAACTTCTCTTCCAACTAGATACCTGGAAAATAAAAAAATAATTATAATTTACTATTTATAAACTAATTCATCACAGTACTATACTTTTCAGAACTCTTGTTCTTATCACAATTCAAAACAGCAAAAACCTTTAAGAGCAGCTAAACATTTTTACCTGTTCTGTATTCAAATACATACATAAAATTACACTTGTTTTTTATAAATTAGAAAAGGCTTAATATATTTGGTTTGGCAATAAAAATATGTTCTGCTTGTGAAATATTCAACAAACCTTACCTACTCAAAATCAGAATTTAAATTGATGCACAAAGCATTAGTTATAAAAATCTTGGTATTTACCTGGACTCAAATATTCACCACACATTACATTTTTTGCTATTTTCTTAAAAATATACAGCTAAAAAAAAAAAAAAAAAAAATCCTGCCCAACACAGAATAGTAACATTTCAATAATTCTACATTCTAAGTGAAATTTGCTTGAAAATTAATAGTTACATTTATGATAAAAGATTCTTTCTTTTACTAAGTGAATAGGAACACAGAACAAGAATTTACAACATTATACTGTTAAAAGAAAACAAAAATATAAAGTAAAAAGTTCAAAGACATCTGTTGTAAGAAAAAAAATGTATTTTACTACCAAAGATAAATGTAAGTGGGAGAAAAAACACTGCACAACATTCTTTAAAATTAAACGTCTATTTATTTATTTACTATTTAAGCCATACAGTAGAAAATGACATTTTGTGATGTCCTTTCTATTATTATGTTTTTACATGTGAGTTTTAAATATAGTCTTTTTCAATTATCATAGCTTATACATTTATGTGCTCATACACTGATATCTGATCTTATTTTGCTTTTGGTCTTTTCTGGATTTCAAAGGTGATCTTTTCTTTGCATTATTTGTTTAATAGTTTGCCAGTGTTAAAAACACAATCAACTGGTGTCATTAGTGAAAGGGAGAAAACTAATTATCTCCACTGCACTGATTATACATTAAGCTAGACATTACAAAAATATACAAATATATTTGGCATAAGTTTTTTCATAGCTACTTAATGAATCTTTTTTTATTTAAAAATAAAATGCAAAATTGTGATTTCTTTTTTAACTTACAAATTATATAAAGATTTTTCTATACAAAGTATTTGTTTATTTAAAAAAAATACATCACAAGAAATTTAATTTCATGTCCTAGCATTTTTTAAAGGAGCCTAAAGAAATATTTTAATGCACTTTATAATTCATCAAAATTGAAAGGCCCCTATGTAACAAATTGGTCAAAGAGTTTGTTCAGTAAAAATAATGTTTTGTTTTAATTCTGACATTCTTTTTATCAAACAATATATTCACTATTTTGTTACATTAACTTGCATTTTTCAAGCAATTCCATAACTCCATCTGCCAACAAATTTTTATCTACTTTAGCAAAGAATTGCTCCAAGAATATTTTGCAAACTTCCTGGGAATTTTTTTTTTTTTTAAATTTACACGATTCTATCCACACCAGAATAAATGGTAATCTGAAAGTACAACATCTGGTGAATAGAGATGATTGAAAAATTTCCATCCAAACTGTAAGAATTTTTAACCTGGTCACAAAAAAAAAAAAAAAAAAAAAAAAAAAAGTCCCATCCTGAGTGAATATTATGCCTTTCATCTAATTCTTGAGAGACTTCTGGATTGTTGTCTTCAACTGGCGCGATTAGGTGCAGTAATTGCTTGGTTATTTTAAGTATGCTATCAGAAAACACTATTCTCAAATGTTTTCAACTGTTTTGAACATGAGCTGGTCTAACCAGCTGTGGAGCATTGTTCAGCAAAAGTTAGCATTAAATTTCAACAAGCAATTTTGACATGTTAAATTAGTTGCAGTAACTTCATAAACTGCACAAATTTTTGTTTGGGCCACATTTTTACTATTTTTTTTACATTAAATAAAAAACACATACTGAAAATGTTGCTGCTAGAATGAATCTAGTGATTTTTTTTATTGAATTATATTAAAACTAATCACTAACAAAAATGGAACTTGACCAACTCAACAGACAAAAAAGAAATTATAAAACGGGATCCAAGCAAAAGGCAAAAATATTTCAAATATGATACATATGGTTATGAGATATAATATTTAAATATATTGAGTATATATTTAACTCTTAATAGATTCAATATGATAAAAAGCATTCCCCAAATTATAGAAGGTTTAAAGATAGAAAAAGGCTCAACAAGTGCAATCACATTTAATAACCTATATCAACTTTCTGTATATAAATATAGTTTATAATATTCATTTAGAATGTAATCCGTCCTTTTTAATATCTTGCAAAAACTGAAATAATGATTATGTGCAAATTTATGCATACAAGATAAATGTTTAAATGACAACTAACTTATGCCTTGCTTTCAGGTGCCATTCGAATTGGCGTAGATGTAATCATTGGTCCATTCTGGGACAACCCACCACCACCGCGAATAGCTGCTGCCTGCGCAGGAGAAACAGACTGGTGTTGTCCAGGCCGGATTGGTTTGGCTGAAATTAAATATAAATAAATTAAAGCAAAAATACTTATTACAAAATTTAGGGCCAGACAATTATTTTAATATTGATTTTTTTATTTTTTTTTTTTAAAGTGCGATTTTTTCATAAAGTTTAAATTTTGTTTCAATATTTTCATATAACTTTCTAAGAGTAAGATTTGCAGATTCATTTAACTTACAATTTCTCAGTTTTTATATATATATATATATATATATATATATTTTACCTTTATAATGTTAATATAAATATCAAAGCTGTTATTGCCACTGAGAAACATTTTTTTTTTTTTTTAGAGTTACCTATTTAAAAATTAAGAAAAATTACATTCATTTGCCTAAAAATAAACCAAATTTAAATATTTTCAGAAAATAATTATAAGCTGAATAAAAATGATAACGTAGTACAAAATATTATACCTTGATTAATAAAAATCTCTCAAATGAAATTAAGAAGTACATATCAAGAGTCAGGCAAGAAAAAGAAATTTGCCTCTCTTACCTATTTGTGCAGCATGTCCTCGGCGAGCGAGGTTCTTCTGGCGGACAGCTTCTTTGATTCTATCCACCTCGTGCTGGTACCTGCCATTTTCAAAAGTGCTATTGTTAATTCAAGTACCAAATGGTACTGCAGTTTCCATACATCAAAGAAAAGTTAAATTTCTGTAGTGAGGTGGCATGTTGTAAGTACAAATCTCCCAAGGAATATACAGACAGCATATGATCAATGTAGATTAGAGGGTCAGTTAAATAATATTTCCAATTATCTATACAGTATGCCTGTTTGAATGTTCCAACACCAATAAAAAGTCAAGCCAAGCATTAAAAACATTAAATTAAAAAAAAAATAGATTAAAAATCAAGGTGAATTGAATTAAGAAAAAAAAAAAAAAAAATGAAACTAATAAATGAAAACCTTTCTCCAAGCATTTCTACTCTGATCACTGACCAATTCAACTTTACAAAATTCTTTCATTTGTATAAGTTTCTTCTTCCTGAAGTATTTAACTTGAATGACTTGTTACTGCTGAAGTAATTATAAAATAATTCTCCCATTTGTTTAGGAATATTGTAAGGTTCTCATTTAACATGATCACCAAGCAGAAATCTCAGCTATGTAACAGAAATTAGCCAAAACCACTTCTAACAGACTTCTCAAATTTTCATAAAATTATAAATTTTAACATAAATCTCATTTCTGCTTGCATATTTCTCTTAAAATATATATTCATACTGTAGCATTTAAATTTAAGAAAAATTGAATTTTAAGGAATAAATAATAAGGAATCTGCCACCCCACAATTTTGAATATTGATACCTGCTCAATGGAATATACTTTAAAAATGTATAATGACTTATCAAAGAATAACACACATGAATTTTATCATCAGTATATATAAACTTAGAAAACAGATTAAAATTTTGAAAAGTAGCTTGTTTTTTTACTATCAGAAATCATTTTAATAATCAATGATTTAAAAACTTTTTAGGCAAAAATGGTGAAATCAATGATGAAAATTCATATGAATATTTAATAGAAATTGAAACTAAGAACCAGCATTTACAGGTAAGATACCCAAAATAAATTGTAGAATTTAGCATAACTTTAATTTGTTTGAAAACCAGCCATTCAGATACATAAATAATAATATATGCATACAAATATATAATCTACACTCAGCAACAGTGTTAATGCCACAAGCTTGAAAACTGGTTTTAGTATTCATCTGATATTATAGTGAAGATCTACGATAAATCAACAATAAGTATGCAAAGGATAAACCAAATTTGTTAGCAAAAAATTACAACAGCATTTACAGATACTAAAGAAACAAACTACTCTTGCATTAAATTACATGGAAAGCAGCAAAGTAGATAGGAATCCGACACCAAGTAACAGAGTCAGGAGTGAGATGAGAAAGGAATAGAGGAGGAAGAAAATGTAGAAAATTTGTAGAGGGGGAGGACAAAAATATTACCTTTTTCTGTCTCTCATAGCGCCTTCCTTGGCATCCTTGAGAGCAGATTCCAAGGACTTGACTCGCTCCATAGTAGCACGTAACCTTTTCTCCAGCTTGGGCAACTCACAGCGCAAGTCAGCATTGTCTCGAACAAGCTGTAATACCACAAATCAAGTACTCAATGCATGAGAATGCAAAGATTGTGCTTCCTCCCACCAGCACCAATTAAATCATACTTTATTAATTCAGCTAGCATCAGTACACCCTGTCAATGCTGTATGAGCTGAAGATACTTGTTGAAAATCCTTCTCTAGATTAAGCCATTTAATTTGATTTTTTGTTGTTTAATAGTTCAGTTTAATGTATAATTATTTAAAAGTTAGGCTTCACAAGTTATAAAATCAGTATTCACATTCAAAAAAAATTCATTTGCATCTGTAATCTTAATTTTAGAACACTGATTTACCAGGGAGTAAATTATAATCTGCATTTGCAATATTCATTAGAAAGTGAATTTTTTTTTTAACTTTAAATTAAAAAAAAAAACCCAACCTGTTTGTGAACCTTAGTCAGCTGCTCAAGATTATTTTCTAAGAAAGAGATCTTTTGTTTCTGGGCAGCATTACCACCAGTATCTTCATCTTCTTCCTCAGTCTTGCTGCATGACTACAAATAAAATAGACTTTTCTTTAAAACATAATATATGTACAAATATTCATAAAAAATATAAGGATAAAATTTGACTGTAACAAACTTGGAATAAAACAGTTATTCAAAAATTACATTTGAGATAAAAAAAGTTTACAAATATTTATAGAATAACTTGCTTAAACATTAATGCTTAATTTGAAATGAAATTTACTTTTGTGTTTAGAGAATTTGTAACTATATTTTAATATAAAAAATTTTGTGAATAAACTAGAAAAGCTCACTTTCTTTATACTAAATAATATTCATAAACATAAATTATTCTAAAAAGTTTATTTTTATTCATTGAAAAGATTTAACTAAAATTTACTTAAGACAAGGAATAGAAATAAGATAAAGAAACTTGGCATCTTTCTAGGTAATGAACTAGTTTTTTTAGACTTCTAGAGAATTAAAGATCTTCTCAATAAGATAATTTTGTGGAGATCATAATAAATGGTAATAGAAAGGAGCAAGATCTGGTGAGTATGGCAAGTGTAGTAGGACATCCCAGCCAAGATATAACAATTTTATACTGAGTCTGCAAAAAGACATGAAGTATGGCATTATACTGATGAAAGCCTGGATGCTTTTCATTGAGTGATGCCTTTAATAGGTCCTATTGGGAACTTATCTGTATCTAACATTTGATTTTGTGGAAGGAGCTCCTAAAATACAGTGCTCTTCCAATCACACCAAATACACACCATTAATTTCTTTGAATGCAGACTGGCTTTTTATTTTCCCTAGAATATTTTTTGCTCCACATTGTGATTATTTTCAAAAATGGGTTTTGTTTTTTGAGTAGAGAATCACAAATGGAAATATAGTTCATTGAAATTTTTCTTCCATTAAATTGTGAGGCAACCAAACAGCATAGTGATTTATGTATCCAAGCATTTTCAAATGCTTTACAATACATTCATATGAAACATTTGGTGTATCTTTGTGATATCCTATGTCATGTGACCTGAATTATTCTTAATCAGCATTTTGATTTCATCATCTTCAAGATCAAAATTTCAATTTCTGAATTTAGCAAACCACTTACGAACAGTACTCTCAGCTATGGCACTATCACTATAAATGAGACACATTTTTTTGCTGTTTGTACAGTGTTTTTTCCTTTCCAGAAATAAAAGAGCATTAAATGATGAAAATGCATTTAATTTTCCTCTATTTTCAGGTTTAATGTAAAAACATTTAAAATTAAAAATCAAAACATGAATCATATTGGAAATATATATTAAAATGTCACCTTCAGATGTATATCAAATTTCAGTCATGTGTGAAATGAATTATTTGTTCAAATGCCACCTATTATAAAAGGCTACAAACTTTTGTGCCAACCCTATACATATGAAGAATCAAAGTTATATAAACAGCATATTGTTGTTTTTATCAGGAAATGGTAAATAACATATAAAATATATAAGATATGATAAAATGCATATGCCAATTGAATTATTAGATTATCCAAATAGAAATCTTGACTGAGTAAGCTGTTATATATATAAGTCATGTAAAGTATATAAAGCAATATATTTTTTCAGGCCTAAAAAGTATTTCTGAGATAAGGAAAAAATACAAGTTTGTCAAGTACAGGGTGTGATGAATAAATTGAAGTCTAAATTATGCAAAAATGCACCAACATCTCATTTTAACAGATATATTTACCAAGATTACACAAAAAAATCTTGAAATACGAAAGAGTAAATTTATTCAATAAAATTGCCATTGGCTTCAACCATGGCCATGACTTTGGGATCTCTTGTAAACTAGTCTGGATGGTCTCCTTGTTTAAGTTGGTGACTGCTACCATAAATCCTTGCCATCTTTGGTGTTACAAAGAGTTTTGTTGGTCTCTCACTCAACTGTGCCCCACACATAATAATCAAGGGAGTTGTAGTCTGGGTAGTTAGGTGACCAGATGTAAGGGGTGATGGAAATTGTCCAACAGCCTGCTTGTGTGGCATAGTGCAAGGTCCTGTTGCCAGATATAGGGTCTTCGAGCAGCCACCCACTTGACCCAAGGCAGAACTAACTCCTCAAAGCACTTGATGTAGGAGTGTGTTGAATGTGAGGCCCTGTGAAAAGATTAATGGAAGCATAATGTCACCATCACTAGTGATCACTCCAAACACCTTTGTAATCACCATTAGACTCATCCAACTCTTTCTGAATCCTCTGCATTGTTCTCAGATTGATACTCAAACACTCTGAAATGTTTGTATTGGAGCTTCTGGTGTGAATGCCAAGCAGTTGCTGTTTCCAAAATTCTGCCAGAATGAATTGCATCAGGGCGCTCTTTTTCTCACAGATGGTGTCCAATTGACCCTACCATACTGTGTAGTCAACAAAATCAAAAACAAACAACGTGCATGCAGGGAATTAAAAAATATATAATGGCGACAATTTACATTTGCATTAAAATCTAATATTTACCTTTTTAACTTTATTTTGCAGATCTTGTACAAAAAGTTTCCTAAGATTATGTAGTGTTTGCAGCTCCTTTGCCTGAAAGAGAAAGAAAATTTTAAGCAAATAAAAGACCAATAACAAATTTTAGCATATTTTGTTTAAAACTAAAAATACAAAATATTAATAGTTATATCAATGTCAATATCCAAGACAATAAATATTTGCTGAGCTTAGTTGTGATTGGACCTCAAAGTGGGACACCCATAAAGATTTTACATTTTAATTTAATAAATAAAATTAAGTTGCCAAACATATATGCCATATTTTAACTTACTTTAAGTTTTCCAATTTAGGGTATAGTTTTGACATTTTTCTATACAAATAAAATTAAATTGATTTTAATTCTCCAGTAAATTATCTTTAAAATATAAAACTTATGATCAAACACCATTTTACTGTGATTTCAATTGGACTAGGTTAGCATTTGTATGAAAGAAACAATATTTACAGTCCCCAACATTTTTCTTGTTTTTCTCTAAATGCCTACTCAATACAAGGCCCAAGAGGCAACCAAGATAGAGGGTTACTGAATGAGGTTGTTATATGGACATGAGAGGAGGAATTAACTACACATTATGAGGATATGAAGAATAGATAACAGTTGACCCTAGTGGTTAAGATTGTAGTGATTGGGGAAGCATCATTTTAGGAGTTTATTCCACAAAGTACCAGTTCTCAAGAAGCTGCTGCCTGAATGGAACTTCTTCCTTACCAATGGAACACAAAGGAATTCAGGATAATTTAACTCTGTGTATATGGCATGGTGGGTTTTAGCTGTAAAGGTTTGAACTGGTGGAACTGAACCTTTGTCATTGAAATAATGACAGAGTAGCAATCAGCTTGTGATATTTTGTTTGTGCAAAAGGGTCTATAAGGTTGAAAATAATTCATTGTTCATAAGACCACATAAATGATTTTTAACTATGTCAAAGCAGAAAAGTGAGGATATGGCAGCTAATAGTTTAGTCTGATCTGGCTCTTGTAATGAGAAGGCATCAGAAGAGGCATGACACATGGAACTAGAACAATCTACCCCAGTGGACAAAATAAAGGGTTCAGTTTGAAATTCTAATCACCTGAAGAAGGCTGGAGCATACAACGGCCAAAACTTCATCATGAACATAACAATAAAAGATGAGGACAACTGTCTGAACAATGTAAATAATTACACTACCTCATCTCAGAAATATAGACAGTTAAATTTCCATAAATTTTTAAAATGTCAGTGTATCAGATAATCCAAATATATTACTGATTTTTTTTTATAAATCTTTTTAAAATTATATAAGCAAAAAGTTTTTCAAAGATTTAAAAAAAATAATTACTTAAATATTTTTTGAAATCTTATCCATTATAATAGTATAAATTTTACAAAAGCCAAATTAAATTTCTTATGCAATTTAAATGGATTTTTAGTTTCAGTGTCAATCTCAGAAAAATCCATCAGAATACCTTATTAAATTGAATAAATTAACAGAAACATCAAAATTCAGTTTCACTAATTAACTTTACTAACTTCCTTGAAACTTATTTAAAACTAGGAAATATCTTTTCATGCAACAATATTCAAGGTCATTAAAAAAGAAAAGAAAAAAAGCAAATAGTGCTTTAAATAATGCAACCACTATAGGAAAAGATTCTGAAAATTTTTCAACCTGACCAAAAAAATTCTACTGTCAAGCCAAGAACTTTTCAGCACCACTTCATATATGGCAAACTAAAGAAATAAAGGGGCAGAAGTAAAATTTGCAAACATGAAGAAAATCTTTCACAAAAGATACAAGGAATATAGAAATATGTAAAAGGAGAAAAGCTTTTTCTTAAGGAAATATTTCTAAAAGATTTAACAAAGTGAAGACAACAGCATACATTGAAAACAAGCAGTAAAATCAACTCTAAAGTAACAATGAAAATTGATTATGGCCTAAAGCAATGTAAAATCTATTACACAAAAATATTAGTGAGTGTGTGTGTATATGTGTGTGTGTGTGTGTGTGTGCAGTGAGTATTAAATGGAAAAAAAGAAAAACAAGCTCTAGTGAAGATTTAACAGCAGAAGCAATGTTTATCTTGGATCATGCCTTTTATTCTAAGTTAGATATAGGACTTTTCAATTTCAATATTTGAAACATTTTATTTTTAATTAATTCAAAAGACAATCTTAAAATTTATGAATTATCGTTAAAAGATATTTATAAATAGCATCATAAATGACATATGAAGATAAATAAAGTCTAAAACCTATAATAGAATAAAAGAGTATTACAAAAAAGCATATTCAAACTGATTTATAAAATTGACCAAATAGAAATCTTGACTGAATAAAGTGATTTAATAGTTATGGAAATAGTATGAATTATTTTACAATCTGAAACATTCAACCCAACAAACAAAACTCAAAAATGTAAAATATGAATAGAAAAAAATATTCTAAAATATGTAATAGGTCTTCAGCCAAATAATAATCAAATTCCAAATAACTTACAAGCACCCACTAAATAATATTTCAAATTAACAGGTTCTATTGGTACAAACTTGTTTCATCTTTTTTCTAAAAGTAAATGTTTAAATGGAAAAAAAAGTTATTTAAAAAAAGTAAATGAAACTGCCATTTTGAAACTTAATGCTAAATGATAAAAAAAAGAATAAAAATCTTTTAGGTAAATATGAATTGTGTTCAGAAATAAAGTATTACAAAAACATAACATTAAATATTAAGACAAATTTATTAATGTGCTAATTTTTAAACTGTAAGAAAGTGACCATATCCTTTTTCATCCACCAGTCAACTTGAGGATTGTGACCTAATGTGACCTTTTAATAAATGAATGCTGCAGACACCAAATATTGAAGAATAAGGAAGCTACAATTTTTGTTCCAGAGGAAAAAAAAAAATTAAATAAAACAATAACATAAAACCAGTATTAAGAAAGAAAAGTTGTGTGTAATATCAAATACTTTTTTCCCTAAGAGTAAGAAAACCCTAAAATAAATAAAGCTCACAAAGAAATGATTTCTAAAATGATGTTTGAATATCTTTAAAAAATAAAAAAAGTGGATCGGTTGTTTATGAGAACATTAAATAAAAAAAATCAATAACAAACTCTAACAATAAAATTTTATAGATGCGTGCTCCTTTTTATAGCAAAGGATATTTTATCAAATCAATATAATTTTTTGAGGCACCATTTCAATTAGACTATTTTTTATTACATAAGTGCTAAGAACTCCTTATATTGAAATGTTATCAAAAATGTACTTTGTATACAAATCAAGGTGAACATATGTAATATGCACACACAAAAAAAATTTCCCAAGTAATTTGATATTTAATTTAGTTTACTGTTCAAAGTATTTTAGAGTAGATTCATTTATCTATTGTTAGATTTCAATGTTTACCATTTAATTTGAAGAAAATAACTTTTTAAAGGCATGCTCCCAGTAATACATAACTTTCACTTTGTGCCACAGATTACTCATAAAAGGTAGACACTAAACATTAAAATATTCAATCATTGCATCACTTCTGAGAATAAATCAAAGCTTAAAAAGAAAAAAAATCTTAATAAAAAAATTTTTTTCCCCAGATACAAAATGGATATGTTCAGCAATATACTGCCTAAATATTCTTTTTATTGCTTTAACCTTAATATTAATAGGCAGCAATAAATTAGTGACTAACAAACTATACAAAAAAAAATTGGTCTAAACTGAAATAGTATTGCTCTATGCATTGTGTTGCTAAAAAGTACTGCAGAAATAGCAATTTTATTATTTGTACCTGTATAGACCCAGGCGCATTAGCACCAGACTGAAAATAAAAGAAATGATTACAGTTAAATGCTGCAGTTTCTTGTCAGTCTTCTTGAATCAAGATCCTGATTAATCAACACTGGAGTTGAAAGCAATTCTTCACAATATCACCCTCTGATAAGACCAAAAGGAAAAACATTCAGGAAAAACTAACTCCTTTTTCTTACATTCAATAAGAGAAATGTCTATAAGAGAAATTTATATGCAAATATGTGAGAACGATCAAATTTTTTAACCATTTCTAATTAGATCAACCACCTGAAGAACAGGCTCATCAAACCAACTAATCAATGAGTTGTCTTGATAGTATTCAGGGATTACAAGGATCATACTTGAGAAAGGTATCTCAAATGCAATTACTAAAATTTAAAGAAATCATGATAAAAATATCAACTAATATAAGTAAGATATTGTCCCAGATTTCCAGAGAAGAAAAGAAAGGAAACATTGGTCATAATTTCTCGCAACCAACCTGACAGAAATAAACAAATAAAAAAAAAAAAAAAATAAAGAGAAATTTATTATAAAATGTTTTACGAATTTAACAACTATATATAATGTACTGTCTACAATCCCATTTATATAAGTGATAGAAACAAATGCAATGGTTTAAAAGTAACAAGATTCAAGATAATACACAGTATATTTCCAAAAGATAGAAGTGATATAAATTAAAATATAGTCATCGCAAATGTAAGTGAAAATAAAATAAAAAAAGTGAAATACTTACGACAGTCTCTTCAAGTCCTTTGAGATCCTGTTTGGCCTGCTCGCGACGATCAATCTGCAATGATAATTCGGCCAACTTGGCAGACTTTTCAACCTCCTCTTGCTTCAGTTTGTCATAATCTGCCTGAAGTTTCTCCAGAGCCAAGGTAAGTCTCTGGTTATCACTGGAAAAAACAGCATGAGAAATTTTATATCCTATTTGTTCTCATGAAGCATAAATATATACTTGTGAGAATTAGATAACTTTTGAATTTCTTCATAAAAAGCCAATAATTATGTTTTATTTACAATGTATTAATTTTTAACCACATTTAAATAACATTAAACTGAATCTGTATTCTACATTACTATCTTGGTTTACCATATCTTTACAAGTTAATAAAAAAAAAAAAAAAAAAAACAAATCCTTAGAAATAATCTGTGAAAATCTGTTAAAAGCAAGCATACACAAAAATCACATTTTTAAGTGGGAAAAAAGATTGATTTTTCTTTTTGTTTTAGTTAAAGCAAATGAACTAAATGGAGAAATTGGATCTAAACCTATTTGCATAACTGTATAACATATTTTGATTAAGTGTGATGATAGATTCTGTATAGCAATCTTAATAGAATGCACTATATAAATTCAATGATTAATAGAATAAGCTATTATAAATATCAAAATTTGATAAGAGATTCTGCTCCAAGGGGCTTCTTTCGTTACAAGTCTAACCTGTTACCCCCACTATCTATAGTGAACCGTTGGTGTATTTGTCAAGTTCATTTCCCCAAAGAAATTGCAGCTACAATTATAAGGTTTACACTATCACCACAATTTGATTAGGATTAAAACGCATCATGCTATACCAAATCATGTAAAATGTTTATGAATATAAGCAATAATCAAGTATTCATTTACAAAATTAAAACTTAAATCTAGAAAGTAAGTAATTTCTACAAATTTGATTAGAAAAATGTTCAAACTATGCACACAGCTGAAGTAAAAACTGCATTTGAACAGCAATTTCTGATAAATTTTACTTTTCCTTCTTTATAGTGATATGTAAATACAGGGTGCGATGAGTAAATTGTCGCCATTTTATATTTTTAATTTCATGCGTAGATTTTGTTTTTGTCGACTGTGCACTATAGTAGGGTCAGTTGGGCACCGTCCGTGAGAAAAAGTGCACCATGATGCAATTCACACTGCCAAAAAGTTTGAAACGGCATGCTGTACAGCTTGGCATTCATGTCAGAAGTTTCAATACAAACATTTCAGAGTGTTTGTGCGTCAATTTGAGGACAATGCAGAGGATTCAGAAAGATCTGGATGAGTCTAATGGTGATTACAAAGGTGTTTGGAGTGATCACTAGTGATAGTGACATTGTGCCTCCATTCATCTTCCCACAGGGCCTCAGGCTCAACATGGAGGCCTACATCAAGTGCCTTGAGGAGGTAGTGTTGATCTGGGTCAAGAGGGTGGCTGCTGGAAGTTCCTATATCTGGCATCATCACACAAGAAGGAGAACCCAGTCATGGTAGTCAAACAATTTCTGGAACCAAATCATCCCTTACATATGGCCACCTAACTCCCCAGACTGCAACCCTCTTTATTATTATGTGTGGGACACAGTTGAGTGAGAGACCAAGAAAACTCCTTGTAACACCAAAGTTGAACTGAAGACAAGGATTATGGCAACTTTAATTATTCTAAACAAAGAGAATGTCCAGAAAAGTTGCAGGAGATTCCGAAGTCGTCTGGAGGCCATGGTTGAATCCAGTGGCAATTTTATTGAATAAATTTACTCTTTAGTATTCTAAGATATTTTTGTGTAATTTTTGTAAATATATCTGTTAAAATGAAATGTCAGTGTTATTTTCATTTTTGCATCATTTGGACAATTTATCCATCATACCCTGTATATCATTTTATTGCGCAAATCAAGGTTTTTATTTTAAAATTGGTATTAACCAACTAATGAGGGTAAAATTTTCAGAATATACTTATATTTACATGTTAAATATACCATGTGAATTTCAAGTTATATTTTAGCTTTTCAGCTTATAATTTATACTATTAGAAATATGTGCAATATTTCATGTGAGATTTTATTATGCAACTCAAGGTTTGTTTATTATATTGTATATTATTGTATAGTTATTGATAATTATTTATTTTCATTTCAGATATATGAAGATTGTCATCTTACTTATTATAAAACGCAGATTGTGTGTGTGTGTGTGTGTGTGTGTGTGTCTGTAACGTTTATATGTTGGATCGAATTTCCTACATTTTTTAGCCGATTTCAACAAAACTTCACAGGACTACATAAAATTACCTTTATGGTGGTTCTAACGGGACCGAAAATGGGAAAATACAGTTGTTTTTTAATAAAATCAATTTGAAAACACAATTAAGACACATCATGAGAATGAAAGGGGACAACTCGCCCACGAAAATGTAAACAAAAGAGCATAGCATGATGAAAAAAGATTTAAACTTGACGAAAACAAAATTTTATCGTCTAATGTTCATATTATTATTAAAGAGGAAAGATCAAAGTATTTTGGGGTATTTTTTACATTTTTTAATCGTTCCTAGCATGTCTGAAATTTTTGTTAAAAATAAAAAAAAAAGGACAGATAATCATTTTCAATCATTTTTTTCGATTTGATAAAAAAAAGATTAAAATCTTACTTTGATATTCTTTTTAAAATCAATTATCATTTTTCAAAACTGATTTTAATAAAACAGAAATTATACTGTTTATTTAAAATATTTTGAACCAAGCTTAACTTAGCTTCTGCGCCGAAAAAAATGTAATTTGAAAAAAAACAAAGCAGGTCATAACCTTTCACGTCTTTTGACGATTGACGAAAAGGCACATTCATGACGTTTAGATAACTTACGGGAGGAGAATTCTTTCTACGGATGGAAGGAAGTGAAATTATTTAAGTGAACAAATTATTTACCTTGTTACTTTTAAGGAAAACTTTCAGCGCTCTAATTTTTTATTTATTTTTTTTTTTTTTTTTTGTACTTAGCTTTCATTTTTACGTTTACAATGCTTTATGGAAAATATAAAAGAAATTAAAAAAATAAGACTGTTAATAGTGAGATTAAATTTCATAAGAAAAAAAGGTATCTAATTAATTTAGGTACCTTTCTTATGAAATTTTATCAGAAGTGTACATAAAATACTATAATTTTATGTACATTTATTACATTTTACTGTTTTATGTTTCTACAGCCTCTATCTTTTGGTCTTATTTATAAAACTTCAGTTTCATCTTGAGTGAGTGAAGTATAATATTAAAAAAACCTGGATAATTTTCTCATATTATAAAAAAAATTCACTATTAAATATTTCTGAGTAAATAAATCAGTTCTTATCTGTGAAAGTTTCAAAATATTAAACTGAAAAATGACTTACTCTTTAAGATTGTCCACAGTAGCCTGCTTTTCTGAAATTTCATCTCGTAAAGATTGAAGTTGTTTTTGGTGTTGTTCCCGATGCATTTCCATTTGTTTCTCAAGAACTTCTCGGGTTTCACTAGCTTGGCTAGTCTCCTTCTCCCGTTCGGACAGAGCAGCTAAATGCATTTGTTCTATAATAAAAACATAGCGTGAATATATAGTAATTTGTAATTTATAAATAAACACAAGAGCATTATAAATAATCATTACAAAATTTAGAGAAATGTTAAAAGTATATTTGAATGGCTAAACTGTACTTTAAAATAATCAAAAGGAGTCATTAGCTACCAAGAAAAATTTGAATTTTACATGTATAATTTTTTTTCAGAAAAATGTAGAAAATCATAAAAATTGCACTCTATATGATTTTTGTGTATTTTGTATAGGTACAAAAATTATTTACCTGCAATTACAATGTATAAAATTCAATTGTTTAATGTTACTTTCTTTTTTTAATAAAATTTCCTATATTAATTAAATGTTGATTTGTATCTTTATTCCTTTATTTTATTCAATTTTTAAAATAGGCAAAAAGAACTAACCTTGAGCTTTAAGTTTGGCATACTCCTCATTAAGAGAATCCACATTGTCTTCCAACATCCTCTTCTTGTTCTCAGAATCTTTTATGGCTTCCTGTAAACTAGCCATTTTGGCTTCATGCTAAATAAACAATATAGAAATGAGCTTTTAAAATATTCAAAACTAAATATGACAAAAAAAAAAAAAAAAAAAAAATGTTACACCCTCTTCAAATGTAAAGAAAGTATTGCAAGAAAATATATGAAAATGTCTGAGAGACAACACTAATAAGCATGATGGAATTTGCATTTTTTCTTGTGATATGAAAATGATAATATTCTTTCAAAAGTTCTATAAGTGAAGAGAAGCATATTTATCTGTACAGTAATAAATATACATTTCATCATTTCAGTTGTTCTAAGTCAAACCTTTTACTTAAGATATTATAGCATTCTTTTGTTTCATCAGAATCTTTTCCCTAATGGTTTTTTCTTTAATATTTAAGATGATAAATACTACTCTAATAATGATTGACAATACTGATGCAACCATGTAATCTGTTTCAAGATTTATTTTGAAAATACATTATAAAAATGATAAAAATTTAAAAAAAAAATCTTACTTGTTGGATGAGTAATTTGCAATTGGACAAATCCTTTTCATGTTCTTCAATTTTCTTCGCATTGTCCTGTTGATTATTTTCAAGTTGACTGTTTCGGCTTACCAAGGTCTTCACTTCAGATTTCATTTTACTAATATAGAGACGAGCTACAGTGAATTCTTCCTCAATCTTCTCACCAGAACCAGCAGTAGGCTAATAAAACAAGATGATCAATAAAAATAAATAAGAAAATACCATTTTGAAATATTCAAGTACAACAAAATTGCTATTAAATCTCATGCACATCAAGCTGCAAATATGAAAGATATCAATTTTCATTGCAAGAGATTAAATTAAAATCACAAAATGTTCACTCTTAAGAAAATGTTTGGCACTTTAAAAAAAATACTTAAATGATATTACCTTGGTTTCTGCAGCATTTCCACCTACAATAGCACCAATATCACCAAGATCTTTCAATAAGTTAATCATCATATCAGTAACCCTTTTCCTGTGGTGCATAGATGAATCCTTCAGCTGATCCAATTCATTTTGTAAGCTATTCAAGGTGCTCTGCAGAAAAAGAAAAATTAATTCATCTAACAAATATAAAGCTTATAAAAATGTTCAAATGGCACAGTGAAATCTTAAGCAACCAAGTTTGCTTGTTAAAATTTCAATACAAGGAACATACGAATTTGCATCATTGTGTGTATGTGTTCAAATAAGTATTTGCAAATTGACACTACTCATTAGAGAAAAAAGGGTGCTTCAATTAAGTTCAAATTTAAGTTTTGTCATTGCTGGAAAGAAAAGGCTTCTGTAAAACAATGTTTATTCTAATTTTCCTAATTTCAAATGAGATTTTTTTTGTTTATTGGCAATTTCATCAATTACATCATCTTCATTGTTTATTGGGAGTAAATTAAATTACAATTTCCAAATAAAATAACTCTCAGATGAATAAGATCCAACCAAAAACTTTCATGAGTGCTGAATAAATTTGCAATATGTCCACTATATTTAAAGTAAAATACTACAACTATTTCAGAGAATATAGAAATCAGGCAGTATTGAGTAATTTCTATTATTAATTCTTATTGTGACATTCACTAAAAATTCTAAATATCTTTCAGGCACATATTTTGAATTATATACATCAAATTCAAATACTTTTATCTCACAATTTTCTCCTATTTTTCTTTTTACTAACAGCATAAATTTCATAAACTTAAAATAACTTTTAAGGATCATGTAAAAGTTTTCTTACTGATGTAATCTCACTTTTTTTTTTTTATAATGCCTGACTCAATAGAAGCTAATATATTGCTTGTCAATAATAACAGAATCATTTACATATGGGTCTAGAACCAGTGTAGTATCTGTGCTCTGCCTCGTATTAAAATGTCTCTTTCTGGTACTCTTTATTCAGATTAGGGTCAGAAAGGAAAAAATTTAATACCACTCAAATATGCATATCTAATAAAAATAACTTTTGAAGTAATAAAAATTTTGGTATAGCATAATGAGAAGCCACGTATACTTTCTTAATATGTATATATAGAAAAAGTTTCAAATTAAAAAATAATAATGTTTTATTTTATGAAAATATATATATATATATATATATATATATATATAAGGGGTGAAGGGTTTATGTATAGAACACATGCACTGCATGCTTTACTTTTTTCCATGATAAATAAATTTTGTGTAATATAAAAATTAATTATTGACAATTTTTACTATCCTCATTGTACTCATATTTTGTACAAGGGAGATATATATATATATATATATATATATATATATAGGAGGTATTTCTGCTGCACACTGTATTTCCCATTCCTTCATTTCGTAAGATAAATTGTAAACAAGCAATATTATTTAAGTTTAATTAGTGAAAGTTCCTGTTTGCTTAGCAAGAAAAGAAAAAGCAGTGAATTAATTTTTTCCCTGTTCTATTCCCTTTGAGAAGGGAGCATTTTAAAAGAATAAACAAGAGTGTGAGAGAAAAGAGAAAGAGAGAAAAGCAAAATATTTTTGCTGCTTGTCTACCAGTGGTATTATAAGCTGTATTATTGCTAAACATATTTTCTCCAAGTGCTGGTGTTTTTATTGCCTCATGTGGCCAGGATTAAAGATTTGCCTATTCAAAGGATTTAAAGGTTTCACCATAGAGTCAAACGGATTTAGATAAGAAATAGCTATTTAATCAATTTGAGTATTTGTTTTATTGCTGATTTGGGTTTATTTTGTATGATTATTCAGTACTGAAATTAAGGTCACCAAATGTTCTATATATACTCATATATGAAACATCTGGAGACCTTAATTTCACAACAAAAGTTACTTTTTTTTTTTTTTTTTACTGCTTTTTAAAAAGATTTAACTCCTGCAGAATATTCTTGATAATTTCTTAAGACCCAGATTTAGTCTGGTGACTACTAACCTGAATTTTCTTCTTGACAAGTCACACTTTGAGCTAAAATGAGCAATTGCAGCTAAGCAGAGTAAAGCATACCAGATCAAACAGCAATTTCTCCAATGCAGGTTCAAATCCTGTTGGTGGGTACATTTTCTTTGTTCTCTCAAGTATGTAGACAGAATAAACAATATCTACTCAAATATGGGTACCCACTAAAAATAACATTTGAAATAGCAAATAAATACACACTTGCATATATGTATCACTTGTACAGATAGTGCAATAGTTAGCAACTCAGGACAAGAAATTGGTGAGATGTTCAAATTACAGCCAAATTGGTTACATTCACTTTTGCACAAATACCCTTGGGAAAGGTATGAATCCAGCTCTTCTCCTTTCAGGTATGGGTTAAAATAGCAGGGTAGATTGGACTCTCTAGCTGTGGGTGGTACCCAGTCTAGGAGGAGGACAACACTGAATTCAAAGTCATATGTAGCCCTATCATAACACATACTATACAGCTATAGTAAAGTGCATGGAGTTTACAATGACTATATTCTCAACTGTGATCAACCTACAATTGAATTGCTGTATTACTAGATCTCAGTCATTGAAAAGGAAGATTTGTAATCTGATAATTTTTTTTTTTGCAACTAGCATAGAATAAACATTGGTTTCAAACTAAGTCAGAAATATTAATATCAAAACATAGGCCAAATCACCCATGTCTTTTAATAACTATCAAAAACTGCCTACTACTTTTATTACTATATAATTAAACACTACATGTGAAATGCTTAATCAGTACAGATCTTTCATTTTATTTTCAAATATGATCTAAAATTTCCATTTTATATAAACAAGTCATTACAATTATTTTTCCATTTGTAATCACCTTAACTGTTTTCTTATATTAAAATTAGTACTTATCACAGAAATTTCAAATAACTTGTCATTTCAATTGCAATAACAGAGCAAAAAAATGTTGAGTTACCAATTTTTGGTTAAGTTCCTCACTCAGATTTTCATTCTCCTTATTTTTGTTTTCTACCTCCTGAGACTTCTGATCATAGTTCATGGCCAACTCTTCAAGGGCTTGCAAGACTTCTTTGACTTCATCCTTGGCAGACTCATTATCAGCTTGGATGCGAGACATATCTTGTTGTAAGTTCTCATAATCACGACGAGATTGGGCAATTAAGTCTTCTTGTTCCATCATCTGTTCTTTTAGTTTCTCAATCAATTGAGATTGATTGTTAATTTCATCATCCTAAAATGATAAAAAAAAAATGTAAAGATTAGAGTAAACACCAAAGACTAGTATTAAGTATTGCATTATAAATTAAAAATAGTATTAATAAATTCAAAATTATTGGAAATATAAAAATATTTTGATATTTAGCTGAATTTCTTTTTAAATACAATCTTTAAAAAGTAGATTGTGATGCATAAATTTAAACTACAATTTTTAAGAGGGTTGTGTTCTAAATATAGCATGATAAAATTCTTTTTTCAGAAATAAATTTGATATCAGTAATAGTTAAAATAAAGTTTTATATTTATAACAACCCATGTGCCCTTTTGTTCATTTTCAAAGTTATGAACATTAATCAAAGTATAAATTCTATGCTGTTAATATAAACCAGTATCATCCAGAAAAATCCAGATATACCAAAATAGTTTCTAAAAGATTTTTCAATAATTTGCTTGTTTAAAAACAATTATTTTAAATATATTTAAGAGATATGCAAAGAAATTGAGAACAAAATGAGTTGTGTCTCTTGCGTCACAAAATAGCGAGCTTTGTACAAATAGCTTTGACCATTTTTAAGCAAATCTATTTCACTTAAATTCTAGCTCATACTATAATTATAGTGTTAAAAAATAGCCAAGGATAAATATTATCTCAAATTCTTTTTGCATATAGTGATAAAATAGTATCTATAATAGTAAGTTTAACCTTTCTTTTATTCTATATATTTCATTACTAACATTTTTTTTTCTTTTTAAACACCATTTCATTCAAACTAGATAGAAAATATTAAGCATTAAGAAAACAAATGTAAATTAATTCCCAAGACTTGATGAAATTTAGTCAGTGGAAAAGGAGATATTTCAAAGTATTTCTTTGTAGAACCTAAACTCTTCTCTAACAACTACATTTATCTCAAGTCAAAATAGATCAAATGTAAATGCTATTCTAAAATATTTACTTTTTGCAGGTTATTTCCCTGGGAATGTAATTTAACCATAAAATAACATTCACTAACCTAAGAATTTTAAAAATAGTAACTACAATGATCGAATAAAAAAGCAACTTTTAAATTGTATTGACTATAAAATTCATCATGACAGGTTTAAGTGTTTAACAAAAAATACCTAGAATTTATTTACATTTTTTTCTTAAGTCAAAATTAGAATATTTATAATCTAATATTCTATCTAAATCAATTTCTTTTAATAATGGACAGAGTATTTACAAAAACAAAGAAATACAATTGAATTTTAAAGTATTTCTGATATATTGTCAGACTTATAAATAATAAGTATATAATTCTGAATCTCATCGGTATTTAAATTAAATGACTGCTGTAAAATCTTTTTATTACCTTGTCATCCAACTGTTGATAAAGCTTAAGACGCTCTTCTTCCAGTTGTGTGCGGTCGCCCTCATTCATTGAAGTGATGAGTCCTCCAGCCAAGCTAGTTGTACTGGTGGCAGGAGATTCAGCAGGAATATCATCCTTCAGATCAACTTGTTCTTCTACAGATACAGCTTGCCCTGCAATTATACAAAATATTCAAGCTGTAATCATTTGCATGTATAATAATCAGTTAGTTTCATATCTCTGCACCCATACAACTTGGAGAGATTTTTATATATATATATATATATATATATATATATATATATATATATATATATATATATATATATAAAAAGTTCATACTAAATCCATTTCATGCAAAACCATTGGGTTCAACACATCAAAATTTGTATTGTTGACCAAGTGATAACATGACCAAATGAACCTCATTTTGAATTAGACTTTTCATCAATAGATATTGGACAGTCTAAATCATTTTTTTTATATTTTCTTAAATGATGCATTTTAAAACTATATAAATTACATTGTACTTTGTCCAAACTATCATGCACTAATCTCACCCTGGGTGATTTTACTCATTTTCTTGAAGAAAAAAAATAAATAAATAAATAAAAACCATTAAACTCAATTCACATTATAAAATAAAATGAATTGAGTTTAATGATAGACATGACAATGATGGAAATCGAGAGCCACCACCAATAGATCATCTTCAAGGAGGCTGTCTCTTCTGCACTTGGGTCCCACCAACAATTGAAGCAGTCAAGGGAATGATGACAATAAAATTTAAAAAAGCTTTCCTTTTCAATTGTCACTCATTTCATTTACATTTGTGGTGGAAACATTTTCTATAATTTTCGGGATTTGGAGATTAAATTAAAAATTTTATTTCTTTAAAAAAAAAAAAAAAAAAAAGTGAGACTGGATACATTTTATAAAAATGCACTGGATATGTGCTTTAGCTTAACTTTGATGCAAGGAAGAGTCCATGAAAATTGAAATGTAATTAGGTAATTTTCAAAATGTAGTTAATTTCCTTTTTTAATGATTATTTATTTACTAATTCTAGAAATTAGGTTCTATTTAGGAGGTTAAAATGAAATGGTTACAATTTCTTTAAAAAAAAAAAAAATACATATAGTTCAACTTTTGCAAATATGCATTGTCTTTTTGTAAATATTTTTCTCCGTAATATGTTATGAAAGATAATAAACAGAACATCTTTTTAAGCAGGTATCTGTTCATTTTTTTTTTTTTTTTTTTTATGTATTAGTGCTTTCTATGCCAGGTACCCCTACCCAGGTATTTAATAAAATTTACATTTAATCTTTTGTCTAATAGATGATGAATTCCACCACCCGCAATTTTCTTCTAAATGGGAGAAGCAGGCCAAAGACTCCAAATTCCTTGCAATGTGTAAAAAAAAAGTTGCTGATAAAGTTAAAAACTATATGATGAAGGGAATGAACATTACAGTGATATAACTTTTAATAGAACTTCGGCTTCACCTATAAAGGAACAAATGAAGGAAAAGTCACTCAGTGAATCTGAGTATTCAAACAACTCTACCATTTGTGATTAAGTACTTCAAATGACCTTCAGTTACAAGCACGAAGGCCAATGGGTTTACAGTATACTATTATTCCAACTTTTACATTGGCCAAATCATCAATATCACCAGATATATGTCCAGTGCTGAAATCAAAATTTTAGTTACAACCAGAGGCAGAAATGATTATTTTTGATAGCCTTTGTTGGATGATATTGAGCAACTACCATCAACATTTGTCTTAAGAAGAGACCTTGATATGATACTACTTTCAAGTGAGGATAGGATATGGAGTATTCAAGAAATATTCACTATAGCAAAGGATTAACAAATTCGAGCTGCACTACAAGTCACCATTTCAACCATCTAGAAAGTTTTTTCATCAGTTCAAATAAATGTGATTTTATTCATATCATCTTTTTGTTTGACAAATGATTCATTTCATGAAACAAATTTCTTAGTTATGTAGTCATTGCTACCCTTTTCTGAAAAGTCAAAAATTGCATAATTTCACAAAATTTTCCAAAATTAGATACATCTATGACAAAAGGTATTCATATTACCAAGTGCTGTTGAATTCCTTATCCAAAAATTAAGGCATATACCTTCAATGGATACGTTTTTTTTTTATAGCAAGTTCAGCATAGTATACTTTTGACTTGTTTTTTGCCCTTCTGTCAAATTTCACTTCTGCCCATTTTTCTTTATATACTACTGAAAAAAAAAAATTGGCTTCATTTCTGCCGTGTTATATATCACAGCAACAAGTTGCAAGACATAACTGTTGAAATGAAACTTACGAGTAGTCAAAATTGCCCTTCTGTGTCATTTTTAATTATTTTATTTTAGAACACAATTTTCCCCAATGTTTAAGCAGGTTGAATCTAATAATTATTGACTCCGATAGTATCTTTCTTTTACTTCAGGACTATCCATATGACATTACATTTACGTTTTTTTTTCATTTGTTTGAAGCTTGCATCTTAATGGCTTGTCACAATAGCACACGAGAGAAAATTTTATTTTAATTTAAGATGACTTATATGACAATACATTTGTGTTTTCCCAATTTCTGATGAACGTGGAATGGTCATAACCTCACTGCTAATTGAGCTACCGAGATAAATTTGGTACCATTTTTTAAAACTTAGTCAAGCTCACTATATCTGTATTAAAAGATTTTAGATATATTAAAAATAAAATTTTAGTTTGGAATACCTTATTTTTACCAATATGAAGGGGAGGGGTGAATATGATTCCTGCTTTTGAATTCAGAGTTGTCCTTCTTGGCAAGAGTATCAGACTGTCATACTTTTTTTTTACGCATCTTGGTAGAGTGAGGACAAGAACATTAGTGCAAAGTGAACAAGCTATCCTGGTCAGAATTTGAACTCAGCTCACCAATTACACTTCCCAAGCAGCTAATCATTAAAGTCATTTGTAACTCCAACAAATTATCATTATGATATCAGTCATATTTTAAATTAATTGAAAAAATAATAATCTATATTATCAAAATATATAAAACAAGTAAAGCAATTTCTATTTAAAATTTTAAGCTACATAAAAAGATAGTAATAGAATGACATTTTAATCTATCTGTATTTTCATCAGGTAAAAGTCAAATTTTAAAAAATCTTAATTACCAGTTCTCCATTTCTGTAGTTCTGCCTCAAGTTTAGCCATAGTCGCCTTGAGCTTAGTAACCTTTTCTTTTTCTTTCTCATATCTTCGTTTCCATTCATCAGCTGTAAGTTCTTCATTAACAGTTACAACATTCTTGATAGTCTTAGCTCTACAAAAGAGATCAAAAGGTGATATGTCAAAACAATAAATTTGCATATACAACATCTTTCAATCTAAAACAAGTTATGTTAGCACAAGTGACAAAAATGGGGCTTTAAGAAAAAAGTTTCAATTAGTTTTTTTTTTTTGTTTAGCAGCATATCAACCTCTATGCAAGTTTCAATTGGATTTTATTACAATGTTAAAGGTAACTACTATTAAGAATTTTGAATATATTTTCAGTTCAGAATAATTTCGACAAAAATTACCAAGCTTATGTAATTTTGAGATCACACTTGTTTGTTTTTCTAAGGATTCTCTTGATTTTTTTTTACAGTTATAATTTTAAAAACAGAAAATGTTAACTAAATATTCTGCTTGACCAGAAAAAAAATTCTGAAAAATGCTTCTATTTTTGTAAAGAAGCATTAAAATTAAAACAAATTTCTGGGGGATCTTTTTCATGCAATTAACCCAAAAAGATATTTTTACACTAAGGAAAGTTAACCTGTGAACCAAATGAAACATATCTATCCCTAAAATTAAGTAGCAATTGATAAAAATTTAACTTCAAAACAATTGAAGAATAGAGCTAGACTAAATAAAGCTAGTTTTAGAATAGAATCCTAGAAATAGGCTAGTTTTTATATATTATTCTATAAAGAAAAGATGTACTGATAAAGGTTTAAAAAAAACTTACCTCTGGCCAAAAAGCAAAGTAGATTTAGTCTCCGCTTCATTGTAAGAGGCAGGAGAACAACAGATCACCATAGTAGTTCGAGCATTGCCACCCAAACTTTCTTGCAAAATTCTCGTCAATTTACTATCTCTGTATGGGACATGAGATTTCTACAATATTTGAGAAAAAAATAAAGTGAAATACTAAATTCAATAGTCGCCAAAGTAACAAGTAATTTTGCAATATATCACATATAACAAAAAAATTATACAAATCATGTAATTGTCCATCCTACAAAATGTTTAATATCTAAAAAACACTAAACTAATTGTGTTTCTTTTTTCCAGGTTTTCAGATAAGACGTTTAGCCATCTTGACACTATTTGTCATAAGAATCACTGAAAAACCCCAAGTTATTCATCTAAAAAGAGAACAGATTAAAATTGATTTGTGTCAGCCCCACTGTCTTCCTAAATGAGCAATGGTGAAAGGAAAAAGATCATTCAGGCCTTCAACAATGGTACCAACATTCATATTCTGGTTTCCATCTTCAAAGTCCATTTAAGAACCATCAAGAGAACAGTGAATAAGTTTAAAAAAGAGGGAACAGTGGTGATGAAAACTGGATCAGGTTACAGCAGAAAGAGGGATCATCATTTCAACTTAGAGCTAAAGAGATCAATTAGAAAAGATCCAACTCAATCCATAAGATGTTTGGCATATGAGAGAGGAGTTTCAGCTATGACAGTCCAAAGAGCAGTAAAAAAAAAGACTTGAAAATGAAATCATACATACTATGAGACACCTTGTTACTCCAGGACAAAAAGTTAGAATGTTAAAGAGGGCGAAGTTCATCTTGAATAAGTAGGAAAATGATTCTTGAATAATGTGTGTGTGTGTATGTGTATATATATATATATATATATATATATATATATATATATATATATTTGAACTTAATTTCAATCCTTCATGACCTTCTGATCCTTAGCTATAATTAATTAATGATGAACAAGTCATTTTTTTTTTATGATCAATTTCATCACAATTCTTCTGTTAAGCTTAAACAGTAATTATACATTCTTATTGCACAAATTAAAACCTTGGAGAATTCCAATAAGATATCTTTAATCATTTCTAAGATACAATGGTTCAAAGCTTAATCTAACAAATGGACAATTTTGTCCATGATTTTGGACAATTTTACTGTTACATCCAGTACATACTGTAGCAAAAAATAAATGATGATGAGGGGGTCAAAAAGTGCAGTGCAACACTCGCTGGCAGGCAAGCTCTTTTTCTTCTTGGGTCACCTCAAGGAAATGGATTGCGTGGCTCCTTTTCTCGGCCGTGAACACTGGGCAGTTGTGAAACAGACACCAACTCAGCCACGCCTACTTCAACTTCCTCTTTGTATGTCTGTCAATCCATATGTTCAACTCTAACACATGCAGTCCGCCAAATGACTTCTCTGCCCCGTGCTGCTGGCACCCTGCTTTTTATGCTTTTCCAAGACAGCCAAAATTTGCAAATATCATCTCGTCTTGGATGAAATATGCGCGCATAAATTGTGTCTTCAATAGCAGCCATATATTTTTTTTTTCATCACTTTGCAGGCAAGACATGTTCGCGCTCGTTTTGAATTTGGAGGTAAGTCATGTCTTTCATTACACATACAAGTGATATACAACAATTTGGAAAAAAGACTTTTGTTTGGTCAATCAAAGGGTGTCATCAAAAAAATGGATTTTATTTAAACTATTGTGATTAAACATGATTTACCTTAAGGATATGAATGCTTGATTTTATTTTTAAATCTTACCTGTATCATTTTAAAATTAGATTTGACTAATTTCAACTTGGATTTTGTTTACTATAAGGTTTTTGTATTATACATTGTTTAAACACCAACTTAGTAAGAACAAATGATAAACTAAAGTAGCCTGGTCATATATTAAAACATATACAAATATGGCATAGATAAATAGACAATTAACATACACAGATTGGATATTTTTATTCAATTGTGAACCTTTGATCATATAATTCACTAATGAAAGGTAGTTATCAAGTCTCATTCACATCAACCTAGATCACCAGAGCAGTATTTCATGCAATGATAAAATAAATTGAAAAATATCCCTAGCACAAAGCAGCAAATGTAGCAGAGAACTACCAAATAAATTCAGAAAAGGTATTACAATATATTCATAACACTGGTTATTATGGCATGAATCTTACTGAACATGTCGGGGCTACTTTGGATAATATGTTTAGAAAACTGTTTACAATATATTTGCTTTATTTTTTCTGTGTCGTCTAGATAAATTGATAAATTTGATGGCTAAAAAAATTTAAATCTGCAAATATTAAGTCTGCCAATTTTGCATATTTCTGAACTGTTTAGACTTGTTTGAAAATAGAATTTAGATATATTTTAATCTACATTTTTTTTTTTACAGTTATTTACTTAAAAATAAAATTCATATACTACCAATGTAACTTACATTTCCATCAGCAAGAGCTGAAATGACATTTCCAAGAGCTGACAAAGATTTGTTGATATTTTTAGCTTCATCCAGGACAGCACCTTCTGCACCAGTTTTGCTCACCTAAAATTAATTAACATTTCAATAATGCCTTTGTTGGAAAGTTATACAAGTATAATAGCTAATTACTTTCATAAACTAAATTAATAATCAATATTTTTCCAATTATTACATTAAAAACTGGAATTTAAGTTTCATTAGAACCAATAACAGAAATTATTCACATGATGTATTGATGCTTCAAAATTAAATAAAAACTATTTTCAGAGGATTTTCAATACTGAAATAATATAAAAAATGAAAAAAATTTTAACTTACTTTTTCACTACCAGCAAGATCAACTAAGTAAAGTTTGCCACTTAGTTTTTTTTGAGTTTCAACATTTTCTTGCTTGACATTGATTAAAAATACACTGTGACTTCTAGAACTGTGTTCATTCATGTCTGACAGAAAATAAAAAAAATTTATTTATGCAAACAAAGCAAAAACAAAAAATAATCGGAAAATTATGTTAATGACTGATCTGAATAATTTAGCAAAATTCCTGATTTAATAATTTTCATATACATTGGTCATAAAATTGAAATTTATGAAAGAATTTAAAAGAAACAAAATGCAATGTTGGTTAATAATATAAATGATAATTATATGATATTTGATAATGTTGAATAAAAGATCTGCACTGGGTAATTGGTTGATAATCAATAACTTAATTACTCTCAACAAAGATTAGCAAAAGAAATTATCAAGTTACTATTTACATTCATTTTATGTCTAAGGTAACTGATGATTCTTAAACCAGGAATTAAATTTAAATGTAATAAACAAGGATGACAAAGTGTGAAAAGCAACAAAAATAAAAAAAAATGCTGATGATTAATATACACAATTAATCAGCAAATGCTGATATAACCAATTACCAGCTGATTTATCTGTATAACCCTAGATAATACAATATATTCAAGTTTTTCTCATCCTATATAAAAATTATTAGTATTTAAGTAAAACTTAAAATTTCAAACAGAATGAAATTTATATATATCCCAAAGATATTTTAACTTTTAAAAACTACTCAGAACATTTTTCAAATATAAAAAATACAGTCAAAACTAAAAACAACTTACTTGTCACAGCTACATGTCTGTTGTTTTTACCCTCATCAATAACTTCCATCACCTCTTCAGGACTGGACACAAATCGTTCAGTGGCACCCTATAAACAAAGAATAGATATGCATTTAGATCCTCTAGTATAAAAACACATTACAGAAACAAGTGCAGATATATACATACATACATACACACACGTGTGTGTGGGGGGGGGGGTCATATGTTTATTCAATATTTTAAAAATTCAATCCAGAATGTTAAAAACATTTTACCCTAAAATGCTAAAAGTGATTCTATAATACTGAAAAAATACTGAAATGTTAAAACATAGTTCAAATAATCTATAAATTACAGTAAATGAACTATTTGCAGTAACAATTTGCATAGATTCATGTTAAAATTATCTCTTAATATATTAAATAATTTTGTACTGTTAATATGTACTTAAAACTTACTTTGACAAATGGGACTCTGTTCTTGTCTTCATGGACAGCTAAGTTGGTCTTGGTAACTAAAAAAAAAAAAACAAGAGTAGAACATTGTACTAATTTTAAAATTAACATCACCATACAAAAGTAAAGTGTAATGTTACTTTAGTAACATAATAAAATTTTCAATATTTACATTAAATGAATTTGAAATATCACCAGATAATCAGATCACATTCCAATAAATTAAAACTTCATATTGCAATTAAATTTTACATCAGAAATCACTAACAAAGTTTTAAAATGTTTATTAGTAATTTGCTATTGTGAACTTTAAAAAAATAGCTTTTCAACTATGAGAGTGGATCCAATGACAATGTCTAGATAAGATTATGAGCTAAATTTTGAGTTGAAATTTTCTTTGTATAAATATTCATTATGATTAATGGAGACCAGTGTGTTAACTGCAGTGAAGATTTTATGGTAAAATAAATGCACCCCCATTGGTCATATAAACATATTTTAAATATAACATGAAAAGACTAATAATTATAAAAAATACAAATTTAACCACCCAAACTATTTTGTATAAGACATGAAATAAGTTATAAAACAATGTTTGGTTTCAATTATTTCTTGGAATAATAATATCAATTTAAATAAGACCATGAAAAATCTTTTTTCAAAAATTCAAAATAATCTAAATAAAAAAAAATACACAAAATTATCAAGGTAAATTTACACAGTAGTAGGAACAAAAAAAAATCTAGTTATTTCTTATAAATATTTCCACTCCCTCTATAAAAAAAAATAGCTCATTCCTTCCTTACAAATAAATAAGAAAACATCAATAATTGAATTTTGATATAATGGTTTTGCAAATCTTACTAAATTCATAATGATAATACAACCATTTATTTATTTTAGCAAAAAATAAGATCTCTTATAATGTTAATATTATGCCTACTGATGTTGAAAGCACTCCAGCTCCTTTAGGATAGCCTTGAAGTAGATGTTGAATAAATCTAGTGTGAAAATGCAATCTTGTGTTACACCCACTTTCTACTTTTGTGTATTTACTGAATTTATTTTCTATCCATATATGGAGGTAGTTTGCTCCCAGTATAAGTTCTGGACTGTCTTAATATCCTTCACAAATATAATCTAGATTTCCTAGCATTTAAAATAGATCTTTGTGTTGTACCTTATCAAATGCTTTTGCATAATCTATAAAACAAGTATACATCCATCTGCATTTGTATTGCTTTCTTCAATATCATTCTGAACATGATGGTTTGTTAATTTTAACACCTCTAAAACTAAACTGCTCTCTGTTAATCATCTGAGAGACTTCTTTCTGCCTTCCATCAGCATGGCTGATGCTAACCTCCAGGAGAGTGACTCATTGTGCCTCCTTGGGTTAATATTTTTGGCTGACATGAAGTAGAAGGACTACATTGAATCCATTCCTAGGTCAGCTGCTAAGAAAGTTTGTTCATTCTGTTGTGCTAGAAAATTTTTCTCTCCAGAATCTATCTTACTCTTACATGTCTATAAGTCTACTTAGAATATTGATGCCACATATGGTCCAGTGCTCCTGCTATTTATTTAGAGATTCTCGATAAAATCCAAAGGTGAATCAGCAACATTATTGGTCCTGACCTGGCATATCGGCTTTAGTCACTTTCCTATCACTGTAAACTTGCTTCCCTGTACCTTTTCTATAAATACTTCCATTATAATTGTTCAGATGAACTCTTGAACTATAGTATCTAGACTTTATGAATTTAAGCACAGTACTAGACTGGCAGCAAAGTCATCATTTTACCACTGAAATGGCTAGATGCAACCATAAGTTCTATGCTAAGTTTCTTTTCTTACATTTTTCGCTTATGGAATTGTCTTCCAACTCCGTGCTTTCCAGTTAACTTTGATCTTCAAATATTTGAATGCAATATCTATCTTTATCTAATGTCTTCTATTGTTCTTGCTCCTTCATAATGTTTTCAGTTTTCTAATTCTTTCACACCCACTAACTCATTGTGTCTTTTAGTACCTTGCTTTGGGGTAAATTCAATTTTATATATATATATATATATATATATATATATATATATATATATATATATATATATATAGAGAGAGAGAGAGAGAGAGAGAAGAGCATTTCTTTTCCAGTGTCCATGACAAAGCTGCATTGTTCATTTCCTATTTCTAGTCTAATTCCACTTCCAGCTCTCTTCACCAAAATTTGGATTATTATCTTCGTCATATGTCTCATTAAACTGATTATCTGATAGAGCTTGCATTCATTTGCACCTGGTTTCTTAGGTAGCACTATGGAGATGGATCTACTAAGGTCTTACATTATGTCACAACTGTCATGTAATTCATTTATTATGTATGTGTTCTTGTTGATGCCAAAATCATCTGAGGCGGAGAGCATTTCTACTATGATCACATCTGGTCCTGTTGCTTTGTTCATCTTGTTCAGTGCTGATCTTACTTCAGATTTTAATATTTACAATTCTTCTATATTCTTTTGTAAGTTACTCTCTCCTATTGTGAAATGGTTTTCTAACATATTCACTCCATCTTTGGAGTATTTTTTCTTATCAATGTTCCCTCCTTTGACTTTATACAACCTGCTGATTAGCAAACCTTTTGTTTTTTTAATTCTTTTATGCTTTGGTATATACTTGCTTTATTTATGTTGTTCATCCTTTTAATTTCAGCACACTTTTCATTGAACTATTCGAATTTAGCCTGCCTAAATTTATTGATTTCTATTTTCTATGTTTAGTGATCTGTACTCTTTTCCATTACTTGGCACAGTTTGTTGTCTTTTACATCATCTCATGAATTTCATCTGTCATCCATTCTTTCTTCCCTTGTGTCATTTTCCTTGGGATGATAACATTTGCTGATGTCACTAGCGCTTCTCCTAACATGTTCCGCTTCAAATTTGTAGAATTGCTCAAGTTATATTTTTTTCTAGCTGTCTATATACATCTCCTTGCAAATTGGGTCATTCAGGAGTCTGTCATATTACAGTTTAGGCATTGCTCTGGTCTTCTTTAGTTTCCTGAACTTTACTCTGAAGTAGCATATGACAGTCAGCACTTGGATATATTTTACAATGTAAAACTGTATTTCTGAACATTCTGAACCTGGTTCTTCATGTCTCCTCCATGTCTATAAACATCTTGGCATGCCTGAAACCATGTGTTGGTAACTATGTAATCATTTGCTGTGCACTATTGGATCCATTTTTTTTACCATGTTCATTTCTGGTTCTTAGTCCAAACTTGTCAACTATTTCACATTCTTGTTCTTTTCCAACCTTGGCATTCAGGTCTACCATGGTGATTTACATTGTTGAGTGAGCTTTAAAAGTCGTCAATTTCTTCTTCCGTGCTGTCAGTGTGTAAACAATAATAGCTATGTTAAAAGGCTTCCCTTTCAGTGTAACAAAGAATTCTGTCCAAAAATTGACAGTATCTCAGAATACATTTCTTCATGTCATTATCTAGTATTAACCCCGCACCTCTTTCATTTTACTCTTTGTGCATATATGATCCAGTGTATGTTTGACAGATGAAATTCCCTTTTCTTGCTCACTTAGTTTCACATATGCCTAGAATGTTAACATTTAATCAATTCATTCCTTGCTTGTTATTTTCAAGCTGGACACATTGGTGTAATGTCCATACATTACCGTTAAAGCAAAAACAAAATGGAAATAAGATGTTCTGAATAAATATAAGGTTTCCAATGAGTTACCTATGAGTAGTCCTTATATTTTATTAAACTTCACAAGAGTTAAATCTATAAAAACATTCTGAAATTATATGCAAATGATCATTATCTATTTTCAATGTAAAATTTGAGGGGAAACTGAATTCTTTGGGAGTAATTAAACCTAAATGCTAATGGTAAAATTAGTCATTTCAATACAGGAAACATTTGATATTCATTGAACAATGTTGCTATCAATTGAAAGTTACAAAACAATTTTTCAGGAAACTAGATTTCTCCAGTCCACTAAATGTTACAGCTCTTTCTAGTACTGATGGGAGATTCCTCCACAGCTTTTTGTTAGCATGGACGGTTAATTGTCTGATTATATCATTTTCTTTCTTATACTTATATGTGTTACCAATTTTTGTTATTGTTGCTGCTACTGGAAGCCATGAATCAAATTAAAGTTTTTAATAGAGTTAAATCAAAATTAAAATGTCTGTTCAATTGTGCATTCTGACGTAAACACACTTTTAAAGAGCCAGTTAATAATCAGCATCCTAACAAAGTTCTGAAAATGTTAATAAAGTCTGAAATCAAAATAAAATTTTCCATTTATTACTGGTAAAAATATGGATTAATTATCAGACTTTCAATGAAAGTTAATGTTGAAATGATCATACTAGTAAATTTCTTCTTTGTGTAATCTCTATTTAATATAAATGTGAGTTATCTGAATATGTGTGACTGGGATTTTATAAAAAGTTAGACATGTAAAAACATGTATATTCTGAATCAGCATCTTCCAGGGAAGGTTTTTATACTGTTTAATTAAACCTATTACAATGTGGATTGAAATTAAACCTTGAAAACGGCTTTGTAGAGATAATTTTTCTTTGTTGGGTCAAATTTGTACTTTATTTGGCTTTTACATTTTCAGATGTTTTGAGAAAATTACTTCAATTTCCTCATTCAAAGTGATATCTGTGTTTGACAGTTCAGTTTCTAATAATTTTTTTTTAATAGTGGGCTCAACTCAAACTGCTTGAAACTTCTGAGTCATAGACTTAAAATATGTTTGATGCTTTGCTTTCTTAAATATTTACAACTATGGATTTTTAGTGTTCCTTTGGAAGATTCTGACACTAGAATGTTACTTAACATCAAGCAGTGCTACAGGGGGCTGACACTATTTTTGGGACACTTTGAAAAGTGTGCTTAAAGGTGTTTTTTGCTGCCAAGAGCTTTTGTGTTGATGAGTAGGTAGTTCAGCAGTAACTGTCCATTAATGGTATGAACATTGATTGATGGGTTTGTCTTTGGTTTCATGTTTTCTTTATTTTTACTTCAACTTAGGCGACACTATTTTTCGGACATGACACAAATTCCAGGTTTTTTAATGATTTAGTCGTCGAATGTCTACAATATGCAAATTTTCTGCAGGTAAATTGTACCCTGACCATTATATTTGAGTATCTTTACCATTCACTGCGAAAACGTATTAAAATCCTGAAGAAGAATGCATTCAAAAGAAGTCATCAGTTTGGTCCAAAAGAAGAGAGAAGACGGGCTCAGCATCCGAAAGATCACCGCTGAGATGAAGCTACCGAAGTCAACAGTTGAATACATGCTAAGTACAGACTATAAGCGAAAGAAGAAGAAGAGAGGACAGAAAAAAACAATTTCCAAGAAAACAGAAAGAAGAATGAAGAGGAGTGTTACAAGGTTGTTATCATCTGGAGAAAAGGTGACAGCGAAGAAAGTAAAGGAGAAATGTGAACTTGACGTCAGTGTTCGAACTGTACAAAGAAAGCTACACAAAATTGGACTTAAGTATGCTAAAATCAAGAAAAGAATTACACTAGCAAGAAAACACAAGGAGGCAAGGCTGGGAAGCACCAAAAGATGGATAACAAACTAGGTCGACTTCAAGAAAGTGATATTTACTGATGAAAAACGTTTCAAGTTTGATGGACCTGACGGGTGGTGTACATGGTCGAGAAAAGGTGAACCTGTTATTCTCAACAGGAGACAGATGGGAGGAGGAGGAGTCATGGTTTGGGGTATGGTATTTCCGAATGGAAACTTGTGGCTTGAGTGGTTAAATGGACGTCAAAATAGCTTGAGCTACAGAGAACTTTTGGAAAAGAGAGCCCTACCACTCATAAAGAAAGAAATGGGAAGTAATTTTATGTTGCAGCAAGATAACTACAGCATCCATGTGGCCAAATCAGTGAAAAATTGGATGTGTGAAGCAAATATAACTACTCTGGAATGGCCTGCAAGAAGTCCAGACTTAAACTTAATTGAAAACATGTGGGAAATGCTTGCAGAGCTTGTTTACGACGGGCCAGAAATAACCAGAGAGGCTGAACTGTGGCAGCGCATACAAGATGCTAAAAATAGACTGCTAGAAACATGAAGAGACATTATTATCAATATGTACAAACATTATGAAGATAGACTGACAGAAGTCATTGAAAAAAAGGGTGCTGCCATAAACTATTAGCATTGTTTCTGCAATGTCTGAAAAATACTGTCGCCTGTGTAATGTGAAAATTTGTAAAAAAATAAAAATACTTCTAATTTGAATTCTGCTTTTTCATTTGTTATATTGAAACAGTTTTTAAATGTTATTGTTATTACACTAAAACAGTACAGACTGCCTGTGCTACCTAAAACTTGAAAAAATAAAGTGTCTGTAAAATAGTGTATTTTGTACATTCAATACTCAAGCACTGTTGGGTTTACTGCAATTAAAAAATAAAGATATTAATCAATTATTTCTTTTTGGTTCTTTTTTAATAACCTGAGTTGCTTACCATCCAAAAGATCCCTGATTTTGTCCAAGTAAATTTCATAGTATGAAATCTGAAAGAAATTAACATCAGCTTTAAAAAAATATTTTTAATGACATTCATTAAGCAATTGAGTGTATGTTAGTAATCAAAACTTTAAAACATCATTTTCTTACAAGGTATAAATTCATGTTCATCAAGAAGAATAACAACTATTTAGAAGTGAAAGTACTTCAGAAAACCATCTATTTATAAATGATGCAAAGATTTGAGATTAAAATGTCAATAAGATTTTCAGTCTACTTAATAATAATTATTAGAGTAAACTAAATTTTAAACACTTGGGAAAACTTAAACCTCATGGAACATATCAATGACAAGTAGGAGAGGGGGAAGACAGCAAGCAACTTCCCAATGAACTGGTGAATGGATGGCAGAACAGTGGGTGGGGAGCCTTAGTGAAGTGAGAAAAATTTAAGGGCTACAAGGGATATGAAGTTGTGGAGAGCAATGATTGTTTATATACTAAAGGAACACATAAAAGAAAAATAATAGCCAACTTACTTTTATATGGAATTCTAAGTTTTCATCCATTCCATAAATATAGTTGAAGATGTCCTGTACAATGCGTGGAATGATGCCATGCATAGAGGGTTTGTCCAGCACACCCTAAAATGTTATATATAGAATAAACACAAAATAATTAAGAATATTCTCGCAAAGGCAGAAACAATCTATTAAAGTATTTTAAAATTATTGGCTTATGACCTTATTATGACCTCACTATAAAAAGGGGTATATATAGTAAAATTTGTTTCAATTTCAACTGCTGACATCTTATTTTCAAAGCTATTTCAATAAAATGACTAAACAAAATCCAATCTTTTCTCTTTATAAAAAGATAAAATTCTTTCTCTCGTGTGATTATTTTTTTATTCTACAGGGTGGTCCGAAAGTCTTGTCACTCCCTACCAAAACGTAATGAGAATAGAACAAGTAATACAGTAATACAAAGCACATGTACTGCTTCATTAATGCTGTCAGACATCAAGAATGTCTATATGAACACCATTTTCATGGCACAAAATGATGCAGCACCAGGGTTAGAGTTATGATGTAGGGGTGACAAGATTTTCAGACCACCCTGTACATCTCTGTAAACATGAAATCAAAAAGACATACAACATTCATTTCATGCAAAACTGTTGGGTCCAACATATCGAAATTTGTATTGCTGACCAAGTGATATCACCAGTTGAACAACATTTTAAATCAGATTTGTTTCATTGATGGATATTACACAGTTTAAATCTTTTACTTATATATTCTTTAATGATGCCTTTTAAAACAGCATCCATTGTATTTTGTTTAAACTGCCATGCTCAAATCAGTTTCACCTCAGCTGTTTTTATGCACATTTTTTTTAAATTTCACACACTCATGTTTGGCCATAAAAAATTTAAATTTTTTTTTTTTTTTTTTAATTATCTAGTCTGCTTTTTAAATGTTCATTCATTTCATTGACATTTGTAACTGGTAATATTTTCTATAATTCTCCTAATTTGTGGATTAAATTAAAAAATTATTTACATTAATTTTATTTATTTTTTTTTTTTAAGAAATAAAAAAAATAGGAAAAATGAAACTGGATACATTTTATAAAAAATAAAATAAGAAATGCACTGGAAATGTGCTTTAGCTTAACTTTGGTGCATGAGTTCATGAAAATTGAAATGTAATTAGGTAATTTTCACAATGTAATCAGTTTCCTTTTTTTCAATGATTATTTGTTTACTAATTCTAAAGATTAGGTGTTAGGTTAAAATGAAATTGTTATATACTAAACAAAAAAACATGGATACATTTTATAGTTCTTTAACTTTTGCAAATATGCATTCTTTTCATAAATCTTTTCCACATAAGGTGTTATGGAAGATAATAAGCAGAACATGATTTTTAAGTAGGTATCTGTTCATTTTTCTTTTTTTTTTATGTATTAGTGCTTTCCATGCCAAATACCCCTACCCAGTTGTTTAATAAAATTTACATTTAATCTTTTATTCAAAGGATGATGAACTATGTCCTGAGAAGTAATTTCTTCTGACCGGGAGAAGCACAAGACTCCAAATTCCTTGTAATGTATGAAAAGGATGCTGATAATGTTAAAAATTGTGTGATGAAGGGAATAGCCATTACAGTGATATAACTTTATTTCCACCAGTAAACGAACAAAGGAAGGAAGAGAAAGCACTCAGAATCTGTGTATTCAAACAACTCTAGCATTTGTGATGAGGAAGAACCACTTCAAATGACCTTCAGTTACAAGCACCAAGGCCATTGGGTTTCAGTATACTATTACTCCAACTTTTACATTGACCGAATCATCAATATTATTACATCTCTGTCCAGTGATGTAATCAAAATTTTAGTTACAACCAAAGGTAAAAATTATTATTTTTCATGACATTTGTTAGATGATAGTGAGCAAGTGTCATTAACGTTTGTCTTTAGAAGAGACTTTGATATGATACTACTTTCAAGTGAAGATAGGAAATATTAGCTATAGTAGATCATATTAGAAATATTAGCTATAGTAGATCATAATCAAATTCAGACTGCAAACTTTAATTTAATGAAACAAATGTCTAAGTTTCGTAGTTTTACTGTCCTCGTTTTTGAGGAGTTAAAAATTGCATAATTTCACAAAATTTTCCAAAATCAGATACATCTATGATAAAAGGTATTCATATTACAGAGTATAGAGCTATTTTGTTAAATTTCTCATTGAAAAATTAGTAGTTTCAGGTATGCATTTCAACCTGTTTTTGCCCTACTGTCAAATTCAAGTTCTGACTGTTTTTATATTGTGTAAGTACAACTTGTTTTTTTAATGTACTTTTAAGAAAATCTTTAGCTTCATCTCTGTTGTGCTATGAATCAAAACATGTTGCAAGTTACTGACTGTTGAAATGAAACTTATATGAACAGTTAAAATTGGCCATCTTTGTCACTTTTTAATTATTTCATTTTTGAGAACACAATTCTCCCCAATATTTAGGCAGGTTGAATCTAATAACTATGGATCCCATTAGTATTACCTTTCTTTTACTTCAAGACTACCTATATAACATTACATTTGTGTTATTTCACTTTCTGATGAAGTTTGAATGGTCATAACTTGGTTGCTAACTGAGCTACAGAGATATATTTGGTAACATTTTTTGTTTTGTCAAACTCTCTAGTTTCATATTAAGGGTTTTTAGATCTATTTAAAATGAAATTTTAGTTTGTGATAGCTACTATGATGCATATTTTATAATTTTCAGGGTTATTAAATTTCATGATAAAGTATATAAAATTAAATTTATGTTTAAAACAATGTGTGAATTTAATTTTTTTTTAAACCTTTAAGAGAATACCGATAACTTTTCATGACATAAAAATCGACACACATAAGCTACCATGTGAACTGATAACCAAGTTTTTCAGGTGATGGTCCTAATATCATATATTGGAAAAAAAATCAAGCATTGATAACTGAACATGAAATGAAATTTAAACAATTATCCCAGTGCATACAACCAAATTCATTATGATCAAAGGAAATTATTCAAATTTGTTTAAGATATTTTAAAGAAAAGCAATTTAGCTAGTGAATATTCATTACAGCAGATTACTCTGATTCAGCTGCTTTAACAGAATTAAACTTTTTTTTTTTATAAAGTACAATATATATCCATATATTAGGGAAAAGGTTGAAAGAAAAAAAAAAAAAAGATAAATAGTTTAAGCTTAAATCTGGATTCTAATGGTACATTTATCTCTGTAGAGATTTTTCGAAAACAACCTCATCAAGTATTATGAACATTTTCAAAATGTCTTTTTATAGCTAGATACTTTTGCTCCTGATAATGAGATAGGATGTAGTCATCAAAACAAAAGGCAAAGACTTAAATTTATTTGAATTAGGTACCTCCATTCAATTTTTCGATACCTAAGGTTTAAAATGAACTTTTAAAAATGAAAAAGCATTCTCAAAGATTTTATTTTAGCTTTAATTGAAAGCTAAAGGATTAAATTTATTATTTCCAGTAAGTAAAATATTCTGGTGTATTTCAGATAGAAATTATATAGATTGGAATGTCAAATATATGCTCAATTTCTTTTTAAATTTTAAGAAATTTGTAAACAAAAAAAAATTTTTGATTTTAAAATTCTTCCTAAAATAAATTATATATTTCTGACACGTTATTTGATTAAAATTAGAAAATTTAAAGTTAAATTAATCTGACTTGAAACAAACATTTCTTAACGATGTGTCTGAATTTTTTCATGTCTTTATTCACATTATCGATGTTATCGAGAAGTTACGAGGTGATGACAGCTACTATGGATGACCAAAATTGACATAATTTTACGAAATGTAAGCAAACAAATTTTTTTGGTTTTTAACTAATGATTTTTAAATATTAACATTTTTTCAGCAATTATGTACTATTTATTCTTTATTTAATACTTTTTTTTACTCTGAGTTTCGTTTCTTAGGTTCTTAATCTTCTTATCTTAACTTACTAACTTAAACAAAAAATTACTTCAATGAAATATGACCCAAACTAAAATAAATACCTAAAATAAAAATATTTAGTGAAAAAGTAATTAACAAAAATTAAAACTAACTTAGAAATTTTGAAAGGACTTTTTGCAAACATGTTAATGATGTGAAAACAGACCTGGATATTGAACGGAAAAAAATTGTAGTGCATCAGACGACAATGAAATCACGTGACCTTTAATGATTATGTCATGTCCCATAGATAGAAATTAGGAATGTTTTTTCACTACAAATTAATTTTAAAATTATTTTAAAAATATTTGGGTTCAAATGACTTATGAGCTTTACACATTTCGATTCATAAATTTACTTTTCACTTAACCATATCACCAAATTGCATGTTTAAAAGCAATGATTTAAATAATTTTTGAAGTATTAATATTATAAATGAATAAAATTTTTAAAAAATGAAAAAAATTCTTGTAAAAATACACTATTCGTTGAAAAAGTCTTATTTCTTCAGACAATAATGTCCTTAATATAACTTACAAAACCAAGTAAAAGCTTTTCTAATAAAATAATGTCAGTTTTTTTTTTCCCATTTTTTTTTTACAATTCAGAGCAGATTTTCGATCAAACAGGTAACCATTTCACAAAAAAAAATTGGTGATTTATTTTATCTAAAGAGTCCTGTTTTTAACTAATAAAAAAAATCTCACTCTTAAAAATTTAATTTCTCGAAATTCCATGACAATATGTAAGGAGGTGGAAACATGTAAAGAAAGAAAAAAAAAAAAAAAAAAAGATTTCTAAATAAAAAAAAAAAAAAAAAAATTTCAAAAATAATTTCATTCATTTCTGAATATTTCCTGAATGTTTCATTAAAATCTGACAATTATTTGAATTTTGCAAGAATTTCCAATCAATGTGTGTTTTCCTCAGGAAAAGCGCAAAATAAAACAAACCTTTTTTCTTTCATCGACCACTGTTGTAAAAAAAAAAAAAAAAAATTTTTAACCAAAATTTTGAACGTGCTAGAAAGGAGTAAAAAAAAAAAAAAAATTTTTTAAAATAATAATAAAAAAAAAAAAATACTTTGGTCTTTCCTCTTAATAATAAACATTTTGATAACTTTTTGTTTTGAGTTATGGGTTATCATGCTATGATGTTTTTTTTACACAACCTAGTGGAGGTACCTATATTTGATTAACTAAAAATTTGGCTTTTCTCTTATCTTTTTGAAAAATGGTAATTCTAAAAATACAATACTTTTTATAAATTTTCATTCACAATAGTTTAAAGATTTTATATGTACTTTATTAAAAGGTTTTGTATTCTGCATTAAATTTTGGCTTTTGCCAATCTCATTAGAAACAGTTTAAAATAACAATAATTACATTGAAATAAATAATAAAAATTAAAAATTGTTTTAGTTTAGTTTTCATGAAAATGTATTATGAACCCCCCCTCCCAAAAAAAAAAAAAAAACCCAGATATGTCTGTTTTTTTCCCAGGAAGGAATACAAGAATCAGAAATAGAAATTCATACCAAGAAAAAAAAATACTTACCTCCATGGTGTGAGTTTTCCCACTGGATGTTTGTCCATAAGCAAAAATTGTTCCATTGTAACCACTAAGTACATCTGAAATTATAGGATAGTTGACATTGCTAACAAATGTTTTTGTGTTGGTTGTATTAGACATGTAAATAAGGCTGTAGTAATGAAAATACATTAGCCAGTATGTTTCAGGTTGTAATAAAAGTTCTGTCCAATTTTTAAATAATATTTTGAACAAGATTTAATGAGGTTCAATCTTAGATATTTTCCAGTGTCTAGAGGATTAATATATTACATTTTCTTGCAGATTTTGTGAAAATTATTTTAAAAAAAGCTCAATCCCATGTTTGCTCCAACTGTTCTGCTATGAATTTCAAGGGGGAAATAGTGAAAAAAACAGCATCAAAATCAATCAAAGCACATGTGGCGATGGCATGTTGTGTGAAATAGTATGTAAAAGATGATTTTTTTCTCCCATTTCATTAAGGAGGACTTCAATCTAAAAGAAGAGCTAAAAGATGGTTCAGGAAAGTGTTAAAGTTTAGAAAGTGGGTTCCACATGACCTGCAAGAAATGAGTTGATAAGTGTACACCATTGCATTTCAATTAGCTTTAAATGCTTTTTTTGGACAAAACCTTTACCTTGTGGATCATTTATCACAAGTTAATGTGTCAGTAGCTTGCTCAGCAGTCAAGAACAAGACTGCCTACAAGAAAGATTTTTCTGAGTTTATGGGGCAGTATGCAGGGAATTGTTTATTACAAGTTCTAAGAAAAACCAAAGTTTACTACCAACAGTCAAGGTGCTTAAAAGGAGCTTTAAACAAAAAAAATAATGTCCATATTTAGCAAACTGAAAAAGGAACATTCTTCACCATAATTAACACACAATACCATACTTCATGAATAACCAAAAATCTCTTGGAAGAATGTGGCTGAGAAAAATGCTTCATCCACCATATTCCTCCAACTTACACTTTCTGATTACCAACTGTTGTGAAGTTTGCCAAAATAAAGTCTCTTATTTCAGGTCAAAACCAAAAGAACAAATAAACATGGCAATAAAAAGCTTTTTGACAGATACGGTAATGTCATTGAAAACAATGGTTATTATATTGATAACTATTTTTTGTGTCATACAAAAAGAATCAGAAATAACTTTTTTGTTACAACTTGATATAATATAGAATCCACAAAGATAATGTTCTAAAGGTAAACATTCTTAGTAAAAATTACAAATAATAAAAGTACATAAAAATATTACCAAAACAAATATATAAGTTTGCATTTCACATATCAACTAAAAATGTTATTCAAAAAAGAAATATCAGTTAATAAATCCATTTTTCATGTCTGATAAAACTATTTATTAAAAAATAAAATAAAACTAATAATTTTTGGTGACTGTGTTGATAGCAAGCAAGAAATGAATTCACAATAGATGGTTCGCAAAACATTTCACTAATAAATATAAAAAGTTTAAGAGTTAAAAATTTTAAGGATAATTGATAATGCTAAAAATAATTTCATAATTAAATTAACTTTTCCTAAATTCTTAAATTAAGCATTGTCATTATTAATTTTGACTAAATTTACTTTGATTTTATTAAAAACACTATTACAGCCACTATATCAGTCGATATAATTTTTTACTGGTGGTATTATCAATATTAAAATTCACATCACTGCTAGTCATTCACAATTATCATTTTAATATTATGATTAATCATTTTATCATAATTACTTTATTTGATGGCATGTAAGACACCCTCACTTCATTTCAGCATGGAATATTAAGAAAAAATTAATATTACATCAAATGTGACTAAAACTTCATGTTCAGTGTTTTGTCTGGTTCAAACAAGTTTCTTTTCTTGTATTTATTGCAGATTTATGAAATTTTAATATCTGTGGGGATGAGTCATATGTTCCATCAAATATGGTACTAATTTTAACCCCAACAATAATAATGTTTTATTTTGATATTTCATGTACAAATAATACATGTTATTGACTCTGCCCAGGTATATTTTCAAGTTTACTTTCATCATATGATTTAAGACTTTCTAATTAGCAAATTCTTTTAATAAAATAAGTTCTTATCAATATGTTGATGAAAAAATTAAACTGCATTGGGATATCTCCTCAGAATTATTTTATATTAATGACAGTGGTTGAAATATTTATTATTTAATATAACAATTATCTTAACTTTATTTCATTAAGAAAAATTTCATCCAAATATTAAATAAGTACCTTTTACTGTAAAATTATGTCTGCTAAGAAATGATTACAAAAATGATAAATTATTTTTGCTCAGAGAATTTTTAAAAATTCAAGAAATTTTTTTTCTTTCTTTTTAACATAACTATAAATTGAAAAGAAAATAATTCAAATATGTTTTTGAATTTATAATTTTTATTTGAAAAATCTAAATGAAATGAAAATAAACAAGTTACAGAATTTGGGGAAATAAAATGAAGATTAGACTTAGTATATTCAAGCTAAAATTTAATGCTTAGAAAGAAGAAGGCATTTAAAAATTGTAGAGTGTAAATAAAAAAAATAAAAGATCATTGAATAAAAGTTCAGATCATTAATAATATCTAAATTGACAAGAAAATTTTGGTGAGGAGACCATTTTAAATATAAAAAAAAAATTGTTTTATAAAATCTACTTACAAAAAAAAAAAAAAAAAAAAAAAATATATTAGTAAAATTATAATAAATCCATGTTAAAAATGCTCACAACACAGAATGTTAGTTACAATTTTGTTGGAAACTATATTTCTAATCCAAGCTGCATAATACTCATAAAATGTAAATATTTAATGTTATGCAACAAAAGAAACCCTCAAAGCTAAACTAGTTAAAATTAATAAAAATAAATTTAAAAAATAGAAGCATCAATTAAGAAACTCAGATAATAATAAACAGACAATCCTACTATTTTAAAACTGTAAATAGATTGAGATAATCCTTCTGTTGCATGGAAAACAAGAATTACTGAGGCAGTGAACACTTTTCTTACATAAGAACTTTCTAATTGCAAATAATTCTTGATGCATATATGTTCTGTAAACATGAATTTTCCCACCACTCATTTATTTGTAAAAACCTTTTTGAATCCCAGATAAAGATTTCTATAAAATTTATTTTCCAGTTTTTAGAGTTTTTTTTATACAAGTTGACACCACTTGACACATTATTTTCATCACTTGGGGCTGAGATTTAAGCTGGTGCCAAAATGAATTAGTGACACAATAGAAAAAGTAATAGTTTAGCTGTAGCAGCCATGATTTAACATTTTGAAATGATTGTTAGGACCAAAAAGATGCAGCATTATCTCTGAGGTGACAAATGCACAATGTTTTTCTCAAGTAACAGTAGCAAGGATATATCAAGATGTAAAATCTGAACAGGCAACAACAGAATGTGAAAACTAGACACACAGGTGATTTAAGAGAGAGTCCACCAACAACTAACAAGGATGGTAACTACTCAACAAATGTGAGCATAGCATAAAATCACATCTAAATTCATGCCACTCCTCAGACAATGAACTATACAGCATATGTTGCATTCTGTAGGGTTTTTATAATCACAGACGAACAAGAATACCACATTGTTTCCAGCTCTAGAGAGATGATCAAATTTATGTATAGAGACGACAACCTGCCAGCAGAATGTTTTGTAAGATAGCAGTGGCTCTGTATACTTTTGAAATTCATAAGGACAACTAGTGAAACTGGACAAATGTGATATAAACAGGTCGTGTTGTAGATTATACACAACCCTTTATGCTTGTCATGTGTCCCCAGTGGTGATGGTTTATTCTCCAGCAAGATAACAACTTCTCATCATTTATGGATGAAAGAAAACTGGTTCCAGAAACATACAGTTGGATTTCAAGTACTCCATTAACCTCCATATTCACCAAATTAAAACCCCATCAATCATGAAGGAGACCTGTAGCAAACCTCACTAGATTCTCTGCAGCCAATGCTTCTCAAACTTTTTTTTCCACCAACATGCAAGTGACTAGCAAGCAAAGCTTTCCAACTCAGCTGGAGGGTGGGGACAACAACTCTAGCACTTATCAGACTCAATGCTATATTATATAGTTGCTGCTATCCAGGCAAAAAAAAAAAAAAAAGAGTCACATATTGCCTCATTTTGGAGGAGTTTTTTTTTTGTTTGTTTTTTTTAATCTTTTTGCTCATAGGAGGACCACTCCAGGGATGTCCAAGCTTGCTTAATGTAAGAGCTACATACAATAAAGTTCAGATGTTTGCAAGACATGAACAAAATTTACACATATGTTTTTATTACAAAATATTTATATAAATATTAAGAAATGCATGTATCCAATAATATTTATTCATGTATGGAGTTTTTTTAAGCTGTTAATTTGTATTGGTTTCAGTAAGCACAAAGTGCACACATATATACCAAATGTTTTCAAAATCTTGATTGATGATTGTTTTAACTATTTAATATGGTAATGAACTATGGGAATTTACCTTTTATATTAACTGTGATGAAAAAAGAAGCTCAGCCAACATATTTCCATGAGCCGCATATTAAAGATCAAAGAGCCACATGTGACTCATCAGCCACAGTTTGGCCACCCCTGCTATATATTATCAATGCCAATATGTGTTCGATCAGTAAAATATCTCATCAGCTGCTCCAGGGCAATCATTATTTCCACTGCCTTCATCAACACTTACAACTAGTCTTGACTCACTATCCAATTCACTGCCAAAGATCTTGTACTTACAAAAGTATCAAAGTTTCTCCACAGTGTATGCAGCATGTTTCTTCTTGGGTTCTACTATTTTTAAATGCCTGAACATTATATACTACATTTACTGTCTAAATTGCATTATTAGCAGCTAGTATAAATATCACCACCTTGTGAAAATATGTAAAAGAAGAAATGTTACCAAGGTAAGAAAATTAAACTTTAGCACACTGTAATTGTCTATTTTCACCAGGCAAAATGTTAGTCCTGTCAATGCAAGATGAATTTGAATTTCTTAGTTGTATAGTCATCCTTTTATGGTAACACTTAAAACAAT